GCTAAGTAAAATGTGTAATCAAATTAACGAACTTTCCTTGCCAAAACCCTCCATTGTTTCCAGAACTACTTCTTCTTTGACGATCACTCGTAGCCGAGTAAGATTGTCTTCCATAAACCCGGTTTTAACAATGAGTCCATAAGTGACTGTGGAGACCAATTCTGGACCCACACCTCCTTCCACAGTGGGGACATTGGTTCCCGGGTGGGAGTTGATCACGGTGTAGATTTGCCAAGCGTGCCTTCCTCTTAGCACGTTTCTCCCGTGCGTTCTGAGTTCGCGTGTCTTCAAAGTCCATGACACGTTTGGTAAAGGCTGTTCTCCAACTGGAGTGCTAGCAGGCCAATGTTTCCCAGTTGTCGGTGTTTATACTACATTTTTAAAGATTTGCCATGAGACAGTCTTTAAACCTCTTTTGTTGACCATTTTTAAGTTCGGAATAGAGTAGTTGCTGTGGAAGACGATAATCAGGCATCCGCACAACATGACCAGTCCAACGAAGTTGATGTTGAAGAATCATTGCTTCAACACTGGTGATCTTTGCTTCATCCAGTACACTGAACTGTTAACAATCAGGTGTTAACAAATACAATCCTTTGTGGGTTTTGTTGGGATTATCTACGAGCACATCTGCTTATTCAGTAATAATATAGTAATAATAATAATAACAACAATAAAGTGATGCAATTCAAAGCATCTCATTATTTAATTAAAGCTGTCTATGTTCTGTACCATTAGTTTACCCAGTCTATACCAGTCCTGAACCAAGCACTGGTGGGTGATTCAAGAGATTTTTTGTTTGAATGAGAACACAGTTCTGGCATGATGCTCTAGTCTACTTCACGTATAGTTTTTTAAAATACCGAAAGCACTTCATATATAGTATATGTCCTTAATTATTACCTCTCTGTGGCAGAGAAGACTGGGATTAAATGTGATTTGATTTCCCAAAGTTTTGTTGTTGGGGGAGAGGAAGGAGCTGTGTGGGATGCAGTTTGATATACTCCCAGTTTGTGTGGAGAAAGGAGTTCACTCTTTGACGCATGCCAGTTCTTCAAGGCAGATCCCTAGCATATCAGTGTAGATCTTCCCAAACTGCTATTTACCACAGAAGCAATGATGAACCAGCACAATCTGAGTGTATGTTTGTTTCCTCTCTGCAGTTAATATCAGCTGTTGGGGGAGCATTTTGTATTTTCAACATTGGGTAAAAGTGTATCTCCTCACTCTCCTATGCTTACAGTCCTGGTACATTTTTTTAAAAAAAACAAAACAAAGCAAAACAAATGAAGTCTTCCTGAACCCCCCCCCCCCTTTCACTTTCCTTGTGCAATGGGACCAATTCTTTGGAAATGTGCTTAATGACAACCAGAAGTTTGATTTTGTTCCAAGTGATTATGCAATCTGGGGACTCTCTGTAGCATTCTGCTACTGACTTGTCTGCCACCATACTTTGACCCATCTCCTCTTTGTTGGTTAAGGGTGGTAGTGTGTGTCCCCCTAAAGCAGGCATGGCCAAACTAGGCCCTCCAGATGTTTTGGGACTACAACTCCCATCATCCCTAGCTAACAGGACCAGTGGTCAGGGATGATGGGAATTGTAGTCCCCAAACATCTGGAGGGCAAAGTTTGGCCATGCTTGCCCTAAAGCAATGCTCAAAGTAAGGTGGAATGATACACCACTTTCTCAGATGAACTAAAAATCATCCCACTTCTTTTACATAGATAACTGTGCCTCTCCTAATCTGAAACCAACCTGTCCCACATGTTTTCTCTTTACACTTTGAGCCCTGCAGCCACTTCCTGTTATGGATCAGAGCCAACATAAATATAAGACAGAAAATCAGGTCCTAGTAATCTTTTCTAATAGCAGTGTGCTCAGAAAATGTTGACTGGTGCAACTTCAGGGTGAGAGTTAATTAAATAAAAACTTTTTTAAAAGTCATATCTCAATACAGTATAGCTCTAATTTATATGAATAAAGCATTAAGAAGGGTGCAAAGGACTGTATAGGCATAAGCAGATAAAACCTGCATATTGGATTTTAAACCAGGACATACCTGGTTTATAACCACAAAACTCAAAAGGGTTTGTCTTAATAGGTGGGGCTGATGCACAAACAGGTAGGTCAGTATGTTTCCTGTAAACAGCTACAAGTTCCATTGCACCTTCTTTTCTGTAATGCCAAACACGTTTTCCTACAGTCAGATTCTATCTGTAAAATGGATGCCTGCCTGGAGGTTGTAAAAGGATCTCAGAGGCAACCCAACAAACACATTTCTAAAGATGATTTGAGGTGCTTTCTAATCTGAAGATGTTGAAATGCAAAGTGATTTTGGTCTCATGTTCACAGAACTGCAGTTATTCTGGCCTGATATCAATAGAAATGTATTTTAAAAGAAATTGTCTGGCATTGAATAGCATCTTGGGGGTGATGCTGTGGGTGGATTTGGAAAACTCTTTCTTGTTTTAAATGTGAACAAAATTTATCTAGCTTGTGGCAGCACTTTTGTACTCCCCCCCTTTCCCCAAATTAACAACGTGCAGTTTATCCATCAGTTTTGTTTATTTAAGTATTTTTAATGCCACCTTTCAGTTCTGCGGCAAAATCCCTTTCAAAGTCTATTCCTCATCTACATTTTGTTGATCGTTTTGGAAACGAAAGGTTATCCTCTCTTGAATCCTAAACTGAGTATCAGACTTTCTACGGCAACCATTTCTCTCCCTCCTAGTTTTATTCTTATGGGAACTTCAGGAATAACCACCATTGTTTGCAATCAATATGCATTTAACACAAAGTAAGGAATGAAAGACAGGGAGTGATGGGATGATTGTTGCATTGGCAAAGGTCACTGTGGAGCAGGTGTGGGGACCCTTTGCCACTAGGCATACTTTCTGGGGTTGATGGGAATTGTTGTGCAGTAGTATCTGAAGAGCCAAAGGTTCCCAGTACCTGCTCTATAGCAATAGTTCTCAACCTTTTCAGACCAAGGACCCACTTTTAGTCCAGACATGCATCTAAGAATCCATTTTTCAGTTTTACACTATATATTTGTAAGTGAGAGACCCACAACTTAGGTCCGGCCACCTAAATCCACCAGTGGATGCAGATCCACCAGATGAAGACCAATGCTCTGGAACATAGCTGTCAACTTTCAGACTTGAAAATAAGGGATCAGCAGCCTCACCTATCCCGGGGACAGTCTACGGGATATCTAACAATCCAGGATAGCAGCGGGAAACGGCGCAGGAATAAGGGAATTTCCCACCAAAAAAAGGGAAGGTTGACAGCTATGCTCTGGAATCTAGTTGTTTCAGTCTCGAAAAAATAAGTAGTTAATCTGCATCTATAAACTGTTTTAGCTGTCCTATTGTATAGTGCTAGAGCTACTGCTAGGATCACTTCCTTCCAATTAAAAGAAATATAAATTCCATAGAGGAAGCTAAATCAACTGTGTAAAAGTTCACCAGGAGTTAGTGCTGGTCTCCATTTCAATGCCAGTGAGCAATTTTGGAACAAGGGAAGTCATAGTATGAATGTATTGTTGACCTGGAACAAGGGTGGAATTTGGTCTTTCAAATTTCAGCAGCGACCTGTGTGAGGCCAAAATTCAGCACACGCCCCTCCTGCCTTTCCTTCTGTTCTGCTCAATCCACTATGTCATAGTTGCAGTTCCCTGCAGCACCCCCTAGATTTGGCACCCAGTGCAACCCAACGTTTCCTGTGAAGAGGGTGTGAGCCCGAGGCATCTCCCATTTTAGAATTTCAGCAATACTTCCGGACATGGGCATAGCCAGGATTTTTGTTAGGGGGAGCATAATCGATGTGATTGGTCAGTTAGCAGCTGCCCCTCTGCCTCCCCTCCGGCTATGCTCATGCTTCCAGAAGTATACTGCAGTTGAAACAAAGTTGCTACAAAGCAGTCCAGGTTGTGGATAGACCTGAAATGTTTTTCCCCTCAGGCTGCAATCCTTATAGCTCTGGTTTTGTGCATGTTAAGTTTCATAGATCTCAACAGGACTTGCTCCGAAGTGCGTTTAAGCTGCAACTCTTCTTGTACAAACCACATAGCAAGCAGCTGTTTAAGGTCACCGCTGTCAACATGGCAGTGCAAATTTACACTGCTTCAATTCAACAAAAACTTTGCAAAGTCTCGTAGGGCCTTTTACCTCTTGACACAAGCACACAAAACAACCTTCTCAGAAGAGGACCACAATGAATCTGTTATGGTGCCAGAAAACTTATTTCAGGGATAACCCCAACAGATGCCTTTCTACAGACCCAGACGTCGACGCGCTGCTGCTTTCACCGTTCCCGACCACTGGCTCTGCTGCCGGGGAGCGGCGACTGACGGCAGCCGTCACCCCTAACGTCTTTATGTGCGACTCAGGGATTTGCCCCCGAGGAAGGCAGTTCATGAAATGGAAACTTCTCAACCTGCAGGGAGTTTATGCCGCAGCAATACACCACACCTGTTAAACTTGTGAGGGACTGCAACATTATTTACTTCTGAGCAGGTGGGGCGTGTGCGCGCTCTACTGCAAAGCTGAGGTGGTTTGTCTTCTCAGAGGGACTCAATACAGTCAGAAGCACCCGCCTCTCAAGGCAGGCGCTTATCCGAAGAATTCCGGCTCTCGCCTTTCAAAGGCAAACAGCGCAAGGGAGGCTCGCAGCGAGGACACCAATCAGGGCCGGGCCTTGCCTCGCCCCGCCCTTATGCTGGCGCCACCTCCCCGCCCGCGGCCACCGCTTGCTTGCTCGCAGGCCGACTTTCTACCAAACCGGTTCTCGCCGGCTCCCTCCGCCTTTAGCCTCTTCCTTTTCCCCGCCCTTTCCTCCTCCTCCCCCCTCCTCTTCTAAATCCCCGCCCACCGCCACACGCCTGACCGTGGCCGCGCGCGCGCCCTTCCGACGCCTCCGATTGGCCGGGCGCCGCCCCTCGCGGAAGGCGTTTGTGACGCGGCAAAGCTTCCGAGCTCCCCCCCTCTCCCGGCTTTTCGTAAAGGCAACGGGTTAGGAGGGTTGGAGAGGAACGGGGCGGGGCGTCGCATGACACGCGCGCGCCGGAGAGCGGGGCGGTGCTTAATGACAGCTCCGCCCTCCCCGCTTTTCTGCTTGCCTTGCGCAGAGGAGCGCGCGAGCAGAGGCCCCGCCGCAGCTCCTCCCCGAGCCCCTCCCACGCCCTGCCGCTTTTCCTTTCTGCCGTCAGAGCCGCGTTAGCAACACCGCCGCCGCTACCAGAAGCAGCAGCAGCAGCAGCAAGAGCAAGAGGAGCTCCTCCTCCTCCTCGTGTCCGCGCGCGCGCCCCCCTCTTCGGTCTCTCCCCCCCCCCGTCTCTCTCTCTTTCTCTCCCCCTCCGGCTCCTCCTCCGCCCTGCATGGTCCATCGCCGCCGCCCTGCTCCGGCACCACCACCTCCGCGGCCGCCTCCGCTTCCCTCAGGCTCAGCTCCTCCTGCCCTCGGCGGTGGCGCCCTCAGCACCCAGGCTGTATGATCAGGCTACAGTCTTCAATGAGTAACCATATTCCTGTGAGTAACGGGCGACCCTCTCGCCGCCTCTAATCACCGTTTTTTTCCCCTCTCCCCCCCCCCGTCTCTCTTTCTCTCCCTCCATGTTCGTTTCTTTGTTCCTTGGGCCGCGACGGCGTTTCCATCAGGCGGGCGGGCATGTCGTGGAAGCGCCCCCCCTCCCCAGCTGAGGCGCCGTCCTCTCAGGCGAGGCGGCGGCGGCACACAAAGCCTCCATTCTCTTCTAGAAAAGGGAGGAGGACGCCGCTCCCTCAACCTGTTCTTCTTTCTCTGGGCTCCTTTCCCCACGTCGCTGTGAAAGCGGCGGCGGCAGATGGCCGCGTCCTGACTCGACTTGGCCATGGAGGGGAGGCATAGAGTGAGAAAAGGGGGCTTCGACGCTTGCCTTTCGGAAGGAGGCGTATGGGCGGGAGGCGGCGGCGTCGCCACTGTCTGGAAGCGGCGGGGTGGGGGGGGGAGAGAAGTAGGAGCCGCGCGGATGGAGGGAGCGAAGCAGCAGCAACAAGCATCTCCTCGATGTTTGTGGAGGGGGGAGGGCGTCGGTTAGCCTGCAAGCCCCACCGCCATGCTGCATGGGGTGGGGGTTTACAGGGCCCTGCCGCGCGCGCCATGTGCCCCCCGCTTCCTTTCAATCCGTGCCCGGCCCATCGGGGGTTGTCTCTGCGGCGTGTCCCTCGACCTTTAAACCCGGTCGCGACGACGTGTCATTTGCCCGATGCCCCCCTTTTTTACACCGGTGGAGCCGCGCTGCTTTTGGGGGGGGGCACCGGCCCGCGTGTATCCCCTGAAAGCCCCCGCCAGTTGGGAGGCGAAGGATGCAACCAAGGGAACAGAGCAAGGATTGCCGGTGGCGGGTGGGGGAGAAGCAGGATACGAACACACACACACACGTACGTTGGTGAAATCGTGCGGGTTTAAAATAGGGAAACAAGTGTATTAAATCGCAAACGCCAGCCTCAACAATTCGGATTCCGCCTCCGCTTGTCTTAAAGCGGGTTCAGAAAGGACGCCGCGTGCAGAAAGATTTGGGACAGTTCTTATTGAGTACAGTAGTCATTAGCCGCCTCTCCCCATACTCTGGGTGACTGCAGCTCCGTTAGAAAAGGCCAGTCCGCCCTTGGTGCCTACCTCTGCCCAAGAGATGCACCCGATCCTAGGCAGCGCGAATGAAACACGCCAGATTCCCCCCCCCCACACACACACACCCGAATTGTATCAATGGGCTTCGCTGTGAGTCGTGATTCTGGGAAAGGAAGCGGGGGCGTTTCTCTCCACCCCTTGCTGCGTGGCTCGGTTCGTTGAGGTGAGGAAAGGAAACAAGTCGAGACATGTCCCGGCCGCTACCTGGCCACGGCGGGGCTATTGCGCTTCCGAGTGTGACTCACCACTGGGGCGTGCGGGGAGGGGGTGAAGGGAGAGTGGAGAGGACATCTGGCGGGGCTGGGTCAACGTGGCTTTCCCGTCTCTCTGCTGTCTGCATGCAGATGACGAGCACGCTGCTTCCCGCTCACGCTGCAGTCACACGCCGGAAGAAGGGGAGAACCGCAAAAAGGACGCGATCGGGGCAAAAAGATTTTTTTGCCAGGTTTCCTGCGCAGTCGGTTGCTAGGGTGGGAAGAGAGCGACAGCCTGGAACACGACCTCGTGTCTGCTTTGCTAGGGAGACCCTGTCACTTGGGCTGAGGAAGCATGTACTTGTGTGTCATGTGAGAAGCATATTAAGTGTCAAGAAAGGTGATGTGGTTTATAGGTTTTGAGTTAACAAGGCAGTCAATCTTTCGGCTGAGTCACAGGATTGTATTTACTGTAATTTGGAACATCCTGGTAAGTTTGTTTATATGAGGCCATGATGTGCTGTAAGTCTAAGAGGACTTCAACCCCCCCCCCCCCAATTTATGAAGGTATCTCCCCCCAAAAAATCAAGTTATTTTCTAAACACTTGGGGAATGGTTGGTTTGCATATTTTTCAAAGTAATTTCTAAAGTCAATAACCAATAAATTTTTGAATTACTGTAGTTAAGATGTCCACATTCCTTGATTGTTTTTGAGACTCCATACAAATGTTGTGGCTACTTAAGAAAAATTGTAAAAGCTATAATTGGCTAAAGGCAGCGATAATGATCTTTTTTCATGGAACAGGTTGTACCATAATCAATCCGGATTCATTTTGTAAGCAGAAATTAGAACCTGATCAAAATCAGTGGGGATTTGTAAAGATACATTGAACAGTTCTTAAATCTAAAATATCCTTTGAGTCTGGAGGAGTTTCTACTGCTGGCTGTCTTTTGCTGTAGCCTGAATTTTTAACTGGAGGAGGCAATTATTCATGTATCATGAAATGGCTACCATGCCTGCTCATTGATTCAGACACCTGCCCCATCTAAATTCCAGAGCTTCCACCTCCTCAGAAGTTCCTTCTGTTATTCCTCCTTCTTGTCATTTGTCACTTTTCCCATTTCATCTACTTCTTGCACCTTCCCACACACTTCTAATCAAGCTACTTTTCTGCAGTTCTCAGGGCTAGCATTCTAATCTTGGTTTCCTCCTATGGTTCTAGGCAGTTTTCAATGGCTTTCCAGCCATGTCATGCTCTACAGCTCACTTGCTTGTCCTGATGCTTTGAGTGTGGTTGCTAGTGTAGGATGTGGGGAGGAAACAGGAAGAACCTAAAGTGGCTGAGTTCAATAAATGCATATGCTATTTAGTTTGAAAGACTTTAGGACTCTTCGCAACATGGCAGAAGCTTTTTTACCTTCAAAAATCTGCACGAAGCCCAAAGTTGTTGTCATTTGTCTAAATAAAATAGCAACTTTAGTTACAGTAGGACTTGGAGCAGACTTGTTTGTAACAGATTCCCTGATGCAATAATACTTGGAACATGTAGTTCAGGTAGGCAAATACCATGCAGGGTAGGCACATATGAAATTACTAATTAAGCCACAATATATTCCTCTGTTTCAGTGACAACTGTTTGTAGTGGTCAGTTTGCTTGTCAGAGACAACCACTATTAATTTACAACTGTGGGCTGAAACTATGTAATAAACAGTTCTGATAGTGCAATAACTTTTGATACACAGTGGAGCTTACCTGTGCGACCCTTAGTTCTGACAGTTCCCCAGTCATCCAGATCAGATTAATTTGTCTTGAAAAGAGAGCATCTTGTGCAAAGAGGAATGAACTAGTACTAAGTTTAAAACGTGTTGACTATAATAAATGAATTCTCAGATTACAGGATAAATAGATAAATTTTGCTGTGGTCAAATTTCTATTTTAGCTTCATAGCCTTCAATTTCTTCTCTCCTTTTCTTTGTCTTCTATTGCTACAGTGGTCTTTTAAAAGTTGTTCTGTTAGGTTTATGTGCTGTCCTTTTATCTTAACTGTACATTTAAGAAGTTCTTATATTTAAAAGTACTGGGTTGTCTCCAGGGCTGTCTTTCCATGAACAGATGGTTCTGGTGATTTAAGTGGTTTAACCCTTGCTCTTGTGCAGCACTCCTCACCACCTAAAGCCACACACACACACACCACCTCTGGAGTAGATTGGGACAGGAACTCCAGAGGAAAGGGGAGGATCATCAGCAAGAAGCACCACTTTCACCATTGCATTTAAGGGGCAGGAATTTATGCTGAATCAAAGCCACCAGTGAACAGAAGGACTGTATTGGCTACAATGAGGTTCCTTCTGTGGAGGTTCTCATACTGTTCCAGAGGATCCTCCTACTCTCAAGAGCATATTTGGGGAGTAGGCAAAAAATGCATTGCTCCCAAACTTCAGTGTGCAGAACTCTGCCCTGGGCGTCTCTGGATCTCACCATTATCGTGAATTACTGGATCTCACCATTATCGTTAATTACTGGATCTCACCATTATCGTTAATTGTACACCATTATTGTTAATTGTTGTTAATTATTATATGAACTGGCTGCTTTATATTGCTTACAGTGTGCAATCATAACATTGCCCAGAGAGCCATTGTAATGAGGTGGCAACACATGCAATAAATAAAATCTTAAACAAGAGGCATACACATAGAAGACAGGCATGGATGCCATTTAAAAAACTGCATCTTGGGACCATTCCTTCCTATATCTGAGAATGGGGGAATACTTCCTGAAGTTTTTCTGAACACTACTTTAAACAAATCTGATTAAGAATCTCCTTTCTTGTTCATTAAGTCTTTAATCAAACTGGTGAGCCTAAACATTGCAGGCCAGTGAGCATTTCAGGATGGGAGAGACTGTCAGTTCTAAGATCATTTCTCAACAGACAAATGCAACAACTTTTGGTGTTTCACAATTTCTGTGATTCCAAGGAGTGTATATGTCTTATCTGAATCAGTTTGTTCCTTGGAAAAAATATGTAAGTAGCAAGATGTTCAAATTAAAACACAGAAGCAGACTGTACTAGTTCTAGATCCACACCCCATATCAGAACATAAAGTTTTCAAGCACACAGTACGTCAAAGTGTATAAAATTTGCTCTGTGAGTTGAGAATTGCCTGTAGATGGCATTACTAGAGAAGACAAAATTTGATCTCTTGGATTAACTGATCAACATGAGTATCTTAATTGGAAAGATTCCTTCTTTCTGTGTCTCTCTTTGAACCACATTCAAAAGCGAAGAATGTGGTTTGGATGGTGTTAGATGATGGGCAGCTCATGTGCAGATTATTTACTCTTCTGTTGTAGAAATATCTCAGGCTTGACAGTATTTTTAAAAACGTAGTGTCTTTTGTTTCTACGTACAAGGCAAGGTGTTTCAGAAGTTTCATGATATATGGAAACTTACCATTCTTGAGTTTCATCAAAATAAAGTTGGCATACTGATGAGAATTCAATGCCTCTCTTGGGTTTGTTACTATAACCATGACAACTCGGCTGCCTTGGTCTGAAAAAGAGTTATCTTTAAGAGCATCTGTGGGTACAGCTGTTTGGGGGCAGCTAAATATTTCTTTGGTGTTGGCTCATATTAAATTCTTTATCTGCACCCCTTTCACCTTACCTCCTTTCAGATAAGCCCTACCTTGTGGCTCAGAATTGACATAAGTAAATGGAGGCATTGGTGTCTTATTACAACTGTTTTATTAAATGGGTGTGGGGGGGGGAAATAATCACACTTCATGAATAAGATGCAGTTTGAAAATGAAGCAGTCTAAAGCATCCTTCCCCAATACAGTGCCCTCCAGATGTTGCTGGAGTATAACTTGCATTGGCTTCTACTAGCATGATCAGGGATGTTATAGTTCAACAACCTCTGAAGGGCACCAGGTTAAGGAAGCTGCTATATATTTGTTGAACAATTTTGATTCATAATTTCAGCTGCGGTAGTATGGTAGAAAAGTAGCATAAACCTATCTTGTCCTCATAACAAACTTGTGAGGCATATTTGGCTCAGAGTTTATTGGCTGACTGAAGATCAGCTTTTTAGTAAATTCTGAATTAGGATCATAGTTGGTTTTGGTTTAAAGTCCACTGTCCACTATCACACTGATTGTAATTGTGTAGAGACTGCAGGATTACCTGCACGGTGTTATAGCTGCGCTAGTGGAATGTCACTCTGGTTGAATGTATTCACTAATGCTGTTACATAGCCTTTCCTCAGTAATAATTGCACCAGCCCTGTGTAAACTGTAAAATGGCCATTCCATTTCTTTTCTCCATAGCTCTTGGATCTACCAGTCCTAATTGATTCTCATTTAGTGATTTCAACTTCAAATGCCCCCTGCTTGCTATCCTCTTCCTTGTATCTATAGAATCCAGATCACATCTGGTTTATCATTTTTAATGTTAAATTACAGTGGTACCTTGGGTTACGTACACTTCAGGTTACAGACTCTGCTAACGCAGAAATATTACATTGGGTTAAGAACTTTGCTTCAAGATGAGAACAGAAATCATGCAGCGGCGGTGCAGCGGCAGCGGGAGGCCCCATTAGCTAAAGTGGTGCTTCAGGTTAAGAACAGTTTCAGGTTAAGAACAGACCTCCGGAACGAATTAAGTACTTAACCCGAGGTACCACTGTACCAACAAGCAATGGGTATGTATCAAAACATTGGCTGAATAAGCCCCTCCCCTAAACTTGCCAGACCTCAGTTCTTACACTTCAGCTGCGGCATTTGACAGGACTCCTTGTATTTAAACTGAGTTTGCACCCATTCACAGATGGTGCATACTATATGTGCAACAACGTGTATACTTGAACCAGCCTCACAAGTAATCTTACCTTCCACAGCTAATATGCCATACGGGTATCCCCCCATTCCCCCCACAAAGCAAGGCGGAGGATTTTAAAGTTCTCTGCCTTGCTTACTTGAGTCTGGGAGGTTTTTTTGCAAGTTCTTGTGTTTAATTTTTTTTATTTCAACTGAATGGCCTTCAACCATGTAAAGTTGAAATTGTGTATGTTGTGAGTGACCTGTATAGCTTATAATTCTTTAGGTGCATGTGTTAATGGAACTTGCTTAATTTAATCAAGCTTTAAAACTTCTGTAAAAACTTACATGAAGCAATCAGATTACTGTATTTTTCCATGTATAACACCCCCCTCCCGTGTATAAGACATCCCCTATTTTGGGGGACTCAAAATTAAGAAAATGGGGCGGGGGAGATTTCCCCCGTGTATAAGACTACCCCCCTTTTAATATTATTTTAAAGTAAAAAAGCCTAGTCTTATACGCTGAAAAGTATGGTATGCCTTGGAGCATGCCTCATTTCTCCCCACAGTAGTATGCTGCTAACTTGCAATCCCTGGTTAACCATCCCAGTGTGTGTGTCTGCAGCGGGAAAACTTGTTTACTTGGAGTTCTTTGATTTCAACCTCTGTGCTATAATTGTAGTTGTTGCAGGAAAGATTTACCATACTTTTCCTTTTATAAGACTAGGTTTTCCCCTCTAAAATAATGTTTTAAAAGTGGGTTGTCTTATACACGGGGGCCATCTTCCCCTATTTTCATAAATTTGAGTCCCCCAAAATAGGGGCTGTGTTATACACTGAAAAATTCGGTAATTCTCCCAATAATGAACATTGCTTTAGTAAAACTGCTTTCCTCATCTTGAACAAGGAGGCTACTTGGAACTTGCCATTTACTGGCTTAACTGCCAGTGGCCATGAAACCCCCTGAATGGTAACAGTTGTATCATGAACAGTTATAATCACACTGAAATTCCTGTAGGTGGCTTTCTTCTAAGCATGAAAGTGCTTAGAAGTGATTTTGATAAGCCCTTTAAGACCCATAGGCAGGACCCCGAAGAGAAGGTTCTCATTAGTAGATGCACCATCTAGTTCTTTTCTTGCCATTAAATATGTATTATTGAAGTGTCCTCCTTCAGCATCCAAACTCTTGATACAAGCTGCTGATTCCCAACCTAAGTAAATTGAGTTCATTGGCATTTTTCCTCTATTAAGCACTTCATCATTTTAATAATTGTCTTCTGAATTAAGTTTGAGTCAGGTTTAATGCTGGTTTTACTTAGAAAAGTAGGTTGCATATCACATTCCAGTTTGTAGTTTGTTTTGTTTTTAAACCTTATTAATGCCACTCTTACAAATAATATTTCATGGGATGGTCATCCATCCTGTTTCACTCACCTCCTCCCTTCTCTGAAAACTTGGCAAATGCTATGCAGCAGCTGCCTTCTCCTATGCAAAGGAACTATAACCTGTAAAGGATTGTTCCTGTCTTAAATAGCCAGTGTAATGCTCACCTGGGGCTACAGTGGCCAGAGTTCAGTTCTGGTTATCTGTGGGATTGTGGGTTACCATAGGGTTAAATGGATGACCATACACCTTATTCACAGGATTGGTAATAAATCATAAAACACCACAAATGTTGCCTCCAAGTCATTTAGAATTTGTGTAATGTATACATGTTGTGATAAACAGGGTTTCATTTGGGAGGCCATGTGACAGGCATCTTTAGATCTCTACGCTCTTTAAGTTTGGAAGGAAAACTTCCTGCACCTTCTGCAGAATGAAAAGTGATCTAGAACAAAGGTCTGTTCTTGATACTAATCACTTGAGTTTGCCACTTCTTGGGAGACAGAGAGAGCTATCGAGTCTTCCTGAATGCTGTTTTTAAATTAACCTGAGGAATTGCAAGGGTGATCAAAATATCTGCAATACAGTAAATTAGGTTTTCTTATTTTAGAAGAAACAAGTTTGTCTAAATCAGACATAGGCAAACCCCGCCCTCCAGATGTTTGGGACTACAATTCCCATCATCCCTGGCCACTGGTCCTGTTAGCTAGGGATGCTGGTAATTGTAGTCCGAAACATCTGGAGGCCGTACTTTGCCTATGCCTAGTCTAAATTAAGGACATTCTCAATACTGGTGGTTCATTCCTTTGTTACCTTTACCCAAGAATAAGCTATTTGCAAAGATACCTGCTCAGTCACTGACAAATGTGCTCTTCTTTTTTTCTCTCTTTGCAGCAGTTCTGTGGTGTTCTTGGTCACACATTTATGGAGTTTCTGAAGGGCAGTGGGGACTACTGCCAGGCACAGCACGGCCTCTATGCAGACAAGTGAACTATAGAAATTGATTACTACTCCACCAAGAAGCCCCCTTAAGAGTGGTTACCAGAATAAGACGTGTTGAGTTGAAATTGGCAGAGAATTTTACAAAGGAGTTCAGACCTGGATGGGGTAGCCTTGCTGCACTGCCTTTCTCTTTGCCTCAGTATTACAGGATTGAAGAATTGCTGCTTCTTGTTTAGGAGGTTCATTTCATTTCCCATTGCTCCCAACTTCATGCTTGTCAGCACGGGAAACTTCAAGTGGCTTTTAGTGGAGTAGACTTCGGTTTCTCCCAATCAATTCTGCTAGGTTTTTTGTTTTTTAAAAATAGTATTGGTCTTGTTGGACGTTTTAACTAAATTAACATGGCCCGAATGAACCGCCCAGCTCCTGTGGAAATCACTTACAAGAATATGAGATTCCTTATCACTCACAATCCAACCAATGCAACCTTAAACAAGTTCATAGAGGTAAGGGTTCTTGAGTGGGAGGCTTATATTAATTTTTGCAATGTTGAAAAGTTTGATATAACAGTATTACTGAAATTTGCCTTAGACAGTATTACTGAAATTTGCCTTGACTACCAACATGATGGTCTGTTAAGAGTTAATTTAACCTTATTTCTTTTACACCACCATTCAGTCATTCCCAATACAGATTTCCTTATTGCATAGTAGTTGCATGTTCAATAATTCCTCAAAACTGCATTTGGGTTTTCGCTTGTGATGACTGCAGGGGGGTGTTCAGCTTTGCTTAGTGTGGTACAATTGCACCATGCTACATGTAGGTGAAGCTCTGAGCTGGTATAGTATAGTGACTAAGAGACTGAGCTGTGAGTCAGTTTTTAGCTCAAACCTCTGCTCTCCCATGAACTCTAGATCACCATAAATATGCCCTACACATTCAGATGTCAGTATTATCTCAGATCTATCTTGCATATGAGGATGGGAGGAACTCGATTACATTACAGGATTATGATAAGAATTACAAACAGATAATGCAAATGAAGCACGTTAAACCATTGAAAGTGTTAAACTAATGTTACAGGGCAGAAGAGGGCAACCAGAATGATCAAGTGGATAGAGCTCTACTTTCAGAGGTAATTTGTGAATACCACTTGCTGGAAACTTCAAGAGAAGAGAGCGCTCTTGAGCTCAGGTCCTGCTTATGGGCATCTGGTCGGCCACTGTGAGAACATGTTAGACTAGATGGACCTGTGGCCTCATCCAGCAGGTGGTTCTTTTGTTCTTAAAGATAGTCCTGCCCACTTGAATTCCTCTGCTATACTTTAGGTCTTATTAGATATTTGTTAAGTAGTTCTGCTTGAAGAGGTGAAATGCAATAATTATAGGTCTTCTGAACAGCCTCTGTATTTGAAATTGTTCACAAAATTGCAATAGTCTGGGCATGAACATCAACACGGTATCATTAAGATATGTATCACTCTCTCTCCCCTTAGGAACTTAAGAAGTATGGAGTTACTACAGTAGTAAGAGTATGTGAAGCCACTTATGATACTGCTCCAGTAGAGAAAGAAGGCATTCAGGTTTTGGTGAGTAGCTTATTAAAAAGATAACATTAGCCATAGGATTTTTTAATTTCTATGGTGCAAGTGATTGAACATGGGGGAAATAATGCAGGTTGTGGTAATCTGGCCTTCAGATTTCTATGGATGTTTTAAAGCGAAAGAAGAAACGCAAATCAGGCAGTGATTTGCTAACTGTAATACAAATTAAGAAGTACTATTCTAGGGTATGTGGAAGTTTAGGTAAAAAATTATTCACTTCATGCATTCCAGGATTGGCCCTTTGATGACGGAGCACCACCATCTATCCAGATTGTTGATGATTGGCTAAACCTCCTAAAAGTTAAATTCCGTGAAGAGCCTGGTTGTTGCATTGCTGTACACTGTGTTGCTGGTCTTGGAAGGTAAGCAGAACTCCAAAAGGCTATCTGCTCTGACTTCTCTACCAAACACCGATTCCATTAGCTAGTCTTACCGAGGTGGGGAATGGCTTGTAGTAAGTTACAGCTGTATGTGTATTATTGTCTTTTCAAATCAGTGAAGCTTTGACTAATGAGAGATTGCAGCCCATATATCTAGTGAATTAGCTCTTGAACAGAGTGTTAACAGGGAACCTGTAAATTTGCACTAATCTGAGCAAGGAGATCAGTATTTGTAACAGTGAATGGCAGCTTTTGTGTTCCTCAAGTGCCAGTTTATGATGTTGGGTAATACGATACAGTTTGCATATGCAATTAATAAAATTCACTATATCCATCAGATTTTTGCAGGGCCAAAGTATAAGTGTACTATGAAATAGTTGTTTGGGTCTACAAAATGGGAGAAAATGACTATTGGGAAACATTCTGCAACTTGTGTTCTTTCCCCTCCACCAGAGCACCTGTATTAGTTGCCCTTGCACTCATTGAATGTGGAATGAAGTATGAGGATGCAGTGCAGTTCATAAGACAGTAAGTATTAAGTATCTGCCTTGTACATACCTGCCAATGACAGTTAGGAAAATATTGAATTCCATACTTCAAAAAGTGTTGCTTTTTATTGCTAGGACCACATGCAGCACAAGGCCTAAGCATCTGGCTATTTTTAATACTTCTTTAGCCCCTCTTCCACTGTATGAATGCTGTGTCCCTGCGAATCGGCCAGTGCCAGGAGAGATTTTAAAGTTCTAGTCTAATAGTGGATTGTACAAGAGAAAGCAAAAAGAAGAAATGTGAAGGCTGAAGCTACAGTAGAAGTGGAATTGTAGGTGTGACTTGTACATCTGTATGTATCTCTATAACAAATTAGTGAACAGCTGAAAAAAACAGTAAAACAAAGCCATTAAAGGCAAGAGAAGTTAACATAAATAACAAAACAGAACTCTGCACACACACCCCATTTAAAAATAGTTCAAAGAGTCTCAGATTACCTAAATTATTTTTAAAGCTTGAGTGAAGTATTTACCCGGTGCCACAGAAGATTGCAAAGATGGCAACTTGGCATGCCTCCTTGGAAAGGCTATTCCATAACTGGGTACTACTGGAAAGACTCTCTCCCTGGCAGTTGCTTGGCTCACTTCATTCAGCAAGCGCAGGTCCTTGGAAGAGCATTTTTAAAGTTCAGATGAATGACAGAAGGCAGGCTTTCAGTACAAAGTGAAAACTTGTTTTTCAATGAGGGTGGGGATTCTTATAAGAAACAAAACCTATCTTAAGCATATGATACTTGGTCACAAGTGAAGTAGTGTTACTTTCAGCACTCATAATTAACATGTTCAATATTTGAATGTTTTGTAGGAAGCGCCGTGGAGCCTTTAACAGCAAGCAGCTTCTCTATTTGGAGAAATATCGTCCGAAAATGCGACTGCGTTTTAAAGATTCAAATGGTCACCGTAACAACTGTTGTGTTCAGTAAAAACCAAGCTGCCTATGTTTCTGGCTTTGGAAGTAGAAGATGAAATCTATAATTGGGCAGGTTACATGAAAAACTACATGTATGTCTTAAACCAAGTTACATGAAGCTTCTATAGGTGTAGGCCACAATGTTGGCAGGAGAGCAACTTCATTTAGATTATGGTGATTATGATCTTTTTTAGAACATGAAATATACTTGGCCTTTCAAAATGTCTTATTAGTAATTTGTATCATTAAACTATCCTTAATCATGCATTTCAGGGTTTTTTTTTCCATCGCAGTCCCAGTAGTCAAATCTACCATGACATGTGTAGAGATTAGGTGCCAAAAGCCCAGCACACTATTTCTGTATACCACAGTGTAGTTCTTAGTAACTACAGCTATCTGGACCATTGCCCATTAGCAGCTGTCTTCTGTTTTGTGGATAGGGCTTCATAGAATAATCTGCCTATTCACTATATTTTGTCTCTCACAATCACACTAGAATGAGTATCAGGATTTGCACACGATTAACTGTCAATTACTTCTGGTACCCTAGACTTTTGTTATTTAACCCTCTTCATTCACCTACATTCTCTGGTTAACTCATAGAAAATAATCCTTCACGCTGTACAGAAGCACACAAGTCTTTAATGTCTCCAGACAAAAAAGCCTTACAGTTAAATAAATATTGGCACTAAATGTGCAACTTAGCAGAGGGCCTGTGAAAGGATGAGAGGGGACTAATAAATATTTCTAGTAAAATGTTGCCTTTTGTCTTGTGCAGGAAGTATAGAATATGCCCTTTACTTTAGTAAATGATTTTTTAATGTAGAAATGCTTTATTGTAGCTGAACACTCTTAATCATACATTTCTTGAAGATCTTGTAATTTATTTTATTGTACTTCTTGAAAGTTGTTTACCAACTATTGCTTTGTTAGAAGTGATTTTGTTTTGTTTTTTCTTGAGTTTCTGCCATGAATTTGGCAGACCTCTGTAATATTTTGTATGCCTTTTGACCTGCGTAACTTAATATTTGGATACTTGATAATTTGTTATGTAATTGATAAAATGGTGGTGTGTATTAATGTTAAACCATATATTTATACTGTTTTGGGAATGTGTGGTTATAGTACTGTGGGAGAAATAATTTGCCAGTGTTCACCAGCTTGTAAAATCTAGTGTGAGAGCTCATCTAAATAAACTCAAAACTGCATTGCAGTGTACCCGGAATTTTCTCTTTGGGGCAAGGGAGGGTAGGGAAGCACTCTGATTTACAGCTTAGATGAATATATTTTGAAGTGGAAATCACAGTTCAAGAATCATATTAATTTCCCTGTGGTAAATACATGTTGGGTGTTCTCTCTCTCTCTCTCTCTCTCTCTGTGTGTGTGTGTGTGTGTGTGTGTGTGTGGTGTAACTGAATTTGTTCTTAGTAACATGGTTCAGAAAAACACAGAAGCATTAAGCGTTTTTCAGTAAACTTGTTATATTTGTAACATAAAATTGGATTATTTTTACTTAATAATTTATATTGTTCTACAAAGCAACACTGTATTTTTAAAAACCAGTAATTTAACTGTATATGGTACACACCATTCTTTTGGATCATGAATGTGCAAGTAACATTTTACCATCTATTTCCGTATATCCACAGTATTTCTCCCAAGACACACAAGGCAGCAACACTATTTTATTGGGACAAATGCATTTGAAGCAACTTAACATACTGTATACTTTGAGCAAGTTCTTTAGCGACATGTTGAATCCAAGGACCAAACATCCTTAGGAAACCCACCAGTTCTGTGTGTAATTCAAAGTTTTGACTTTGGCATAGAAAGCCCTACATTAACTGACTCCCAAATACTTAAAAGATTGCCTCTTCTTATACAGACAAGTTTGAGAGTTAAGAACTGCAGAGGAGGTCTTGTTAGCAATTGCACAACCCTTGAAGGTCTCCCATTGTTAGGAAGTCTCTACCTTTAGATATGTGACTTGTGCAAACGGGGGGGGGGGGTGTTCCTTAGAAACATACACAATCCTTTGGGAATGTTTCAATGATTGTTTACCCAGCTGCTGGTGACAGTGGTGACGATGGAATGATTGAAGCGATTTATGTTTTATTGTACAATAAATGGACCTGGCAAAAAGGGCAGGCAATGCACTTTATGGATGAACAAAGAAAAGAAAAAAAGCCCTGGCCCTATAGAAGAGGAAGCTATGAGGGTACTGCTTACCTGCAGAAGCACAGCAAAGGAGGCAGCTGAGCCATGTGGTGTGCTGGGCTGATTATATGCCTGCAGTAGCCAAAAGCCAATGATTGTAGTTTTGCAGTACCTACCTATGCCCAGCCATGTGCTCAGATAGCAAGGGGGAGAAGAGGAAGATGACTGACCAAACCCAAAGAGTGCTGACTTACGGTTTCTCATCATCCTGGAAAAAAGTGACAAGTGGGGTGCCACAGGGTTCTATCCAGGGCCCCTTGTTCTATGTCTTTACAGATGACTTAGATGAAGGAAGTGCAGAGATGCTCATCAGATTTTCAGATGACACCAAACTGAGCAGAATAGCTAATGCCACAGAAGATAGACTCAGGATTCAATATGACCATAACAGATTGGAGAACTGGGCCAGAACTAACAAAATGACAAATGTAAGGTTCTGCACTTAGGCAGAAATATTCAGCTGCCCAAATATAAGATGGGGGACACCTGGCTTGCCAGTAGTGTGTGTGAAAAGGATCTAGGCGTCTTAGTAGACCACAAGCTTAACATCAGTCAACAGTATGATGCAGCGGCAGAAAAAGCAGCTGTGGTATTCTAGGCTGCATCAGCAAAAAGATCATAACACGATGAAGAATCAAGAGACCTCTATTCTGCTTTGGTCAGCCCCTACCTGGAGTATTGTGCTCAGTTCTGGACGCCACAATTTGAGGAGGATATTGACAAGCTGGAATGGCTACAGAGGAGGGTCTGGAAACTAAGCTTTATGAGGAACAGTTGAAGGAGCTGGGTATATTTAGCCTGGACAATAGGAGACTGAGGAGATACAATAGCCATCTTCAAATATCTAAATGGCTGTCACACGCATTCTATGGAATTCAAATTGTAATGCAATAAAATATATAAGAAAAAAAGAAGTTATAAAATACAATTAAAAACCATACGGCATCTAGCACAGTACGTTACAATTGCCCCTTAAAAGACCAGATGCGCAGCCTGGGAGTCATTTTGGACTCTTACTTGTCATGGAGGCTCAGGTCAATTCGGTGTCTAGGGCAGCTGTCTACCAGCTCCATCTGGTATGCAGGCCAAGACCCTACCTGTCTGCAGACTGTCTTGCTGGAGTGGTGCATGCCCTGGTTATCTCCCACATGGACTGCTGCAATGCACTCTCTGTGGTGATACCTTTGAAGGTGACTCAGAAACTACAACTATTCCAGAATGCGGCAGCTAGACTGGTGACTGGGCACTGGGACTATATAACACCTGTCCTAAAGGATCTTCACTGGCTCCTAGTACGTTTCCGAGCACAATTCAAAGTGTTGGTGCTGACCTTTAAAGCCCTAAACAGTGTCGGTCTAGTATATCTGAAGGAGCGTCTCTACCCCCATCGCTCAGCCCAGACACAGAAGCGAACCTCAGGTTGCAGAAATCTCGGGATCCGACTGGACTTCCACAACGGATCCTGTCTGCAACTGGAGGTACCAGGGTATTTTCTTTTTGGTTGTATGCTTTTTGATGTATTTTATTTATTGTGTATGACTACTTTTGCTATGTTTGTAATTATGTAATTTTTTCAGCATGGTTTAAACTATGGAAGGGTGGCCTACAATTAAGCTTATACAGTGGTACCTCTGGATGTGAATGGGATCTGTTCTGGAGCCCTCTTCGCATCCAGAAGTGAATGCAACCTGTGTCTGCGGGTTGCGATTCGCCGCTTCTGCGCATGCACGTGTCGTCATTTTGACTGTCTGCGCATGTGTGAGTGGCAAAACCCGGAAGTAACGCGCTCTGTTACTTCTGGGTTGCCGCAGCACGCAACCCAAAAATACTTATCCGGAAGCTACTTCAATGCGAGGTATGACTGTGTATGTATGACTTATGTATGTATTCAAAACAGTAAAAAAGTATGTCATTTGTGGGGATTGCCATGTTAATGGACAAAGTACTAACAGAGCACACACAGTGAAGTTCTTCAGCTGTGAACATTTCTCCAATTTGTATCTTGTGATAAGGAAACAATGACTGTATTCTGAGATACTGGGGCTTTTAAACAGGCACAGTTCAGAAGCCAGACTGTTGCATTCTCCTTACTGGGGAAATCCTGAGTAAATCTGTTGCAAATATTTCCAGCTTGGTTCTTATTGGGTAACATGTGCAAATGATTTTTCCTGCTATGTCCCGAGCTCAATTTTGTATTAGAAAGTTCCTGTTGAAGGCTGTCCTTTGATCCTCAAATTCTTAATCTGGCAGTGGAAGTTAGAACTGTCATCATAATTTAGGATGCAATCCTATACGTTTACCTTGCAGCAAGCCCCACTGGAAACAATGGAACTCACTTCATAGAAAATATGCAAAGAATTGTGTTAAAAGTTTCTCTCATGTGCAATTTCAACCCCTGCTCTTGTTACTAATGTGGATATATATCTTTAAGAGAAAACAGCTACTGGAATAATCACAGAAACAAGGACACAAATTACATCAATCACTATCAAATTGTTTGTTTACTGAAATGTATAGTTGAAGGCCTATGCTTGCTTACCTGGGATCAATGTCTGACTAAACTGCAAGACTGAGTTGTATGAATTCTTGTGGACTTGACTTACTGACAAGTAGTAAGTGCCCCAACAGTATGTTGCTTGTGGTTATTCATTTCTTATAGAATGCATTGACTTGAACAAATGATGGATATAAATGAGAATCCATCTTTTACAATAAAGTTTTGCCCTTCCACATTACCCTCACTGTCATGTATATATGGAAAGGCCCTCACTGGTTTACAGCTTCACAAATGTATGTGTTTGCTCAAATTCTAACCCTTCACAAATGTAGAGATTATTGCGGGCGGGGGGGGGGGGGTCCTGTCGCCCTCAAACTAATAATAATGTACAGATATAACAAAGACATAAATATTACCATAAAACAGTATCAGAAGAGTAGAAAACCTACAATTCTCAGTCTCTATGCATCTTTGCCACCCACAAAACAAAGCCTCTGTAACTCTTTGCTGAACAGATGTACAGTGGTACCTCGGGTTACATACGCTTCAGGTTACATATGCTTCAAGTTACAGACTCCGCTAACCCAGAAATATTGCTTCAGGTTAAGAACTCTGCTTCAGGATGAGAACAGAAATTGTGCTCTGGCAGTGCGGCAGCAGCAGGAGGCCCCATTAGCTAAAGTGGTGCTTCAGGTTAAGAACAGTTTCAGGTTAAGTACGGACCTCCGGAACGAATTAAGTACTTAACTCAAGGTACCACTGTAAGGTACCACAGACGTTCCCCATGTGACACCATTACATCAGAAGCTATTCTTTCATGGGGGAATAATTCCTAGAAGACTCAGGCACTAGTTCACAATCAGCCAATGAATTTGCCCACAAATTGGTAAAACTGCTCCTGGATTAGATTTTTGGGGGCCACAGCCCACTTTGTCAGATGCTCTGGTCCATAAAGGCCTTATGCCACATATGTTAAGTCTTTAAGGTATCACCAAGCTTTGTGCGGCAAAATACCTCCCTGAAATTTGTTTTTGGATCACAGCACTTGACTACATGATGGAATGTAGCTGTATTGTAAAATTAAAAGTCCATGCAAATAGAAAACTAGATACTAGGGAGATCATTGGTATTAGGTTAGCTGTCTGCCCGATATGATCTTTGTACTTGAATTTTTTTTTTCTTTTCCATGCACTCCCTCACTTATAGTTATGCAGTGCAGGGGCAATTTTATCATCTCACCCAGATGTGTGTTTTGTTGTTGTTAAGTAGGCCTCAGAGGAATTTACTTCTGAGTAAACATGTTTTGAATTGCACCATTAGTAACAGCAGTCCCCGCAGGCCTCTGGGACTTAGGGAGAGCTAAGCGTGTGACTTTCTGTGCACTATTTGAGCCTTAGCACCTCTATTTTAAATTTATCTCTTTAAAAAAAAAATCCTGCATTTCAGCAAGCACCTTCAAACTATGTGATAAGCCATCTTAAAGCTAGTAGCACACAGAGAAGTACAGCTGTGCCCCTATTTCGATGGTTATAACATTGTCTTTCAAACTTATGTATTTAAAATACATAAAAGGAGGGGGGTAGGGGTGGAGGCGGCACACAAATGAATTTCCTTAGACCTTTTGCGTACACAAGCTCCATGTCATAGCGCAAGGCTCTTCAGGCTGCCACCCCGCAGGCATTTGCCGGGAAGCAAGCCCCATTGAGCTCAATAGGGTTTACTTCCGAGTAAAACGTGCGTTAGGTGGTGCACCGTAAACGTTAAGAAAAGTGAAACCCGGGGGAGAGGGTCGCACGAGAGGAAGATATTATTCAGCAACAGCAGTCAGCAGCACAGGTCTGTACGCAAGAGGAGGAGAAGAAACAAAACAAATTAACCGTCCCACGCTCAGAAAACTCGAAATATGTTTATTTATTACGGTAGATGGAAGGTAAGCGTCAAAGCGCACGCGCAAAGCCACGCGCAGGGTAAAACAGCGCCGTCACGTGACCTCGGCCTCCGGCTCTCACTACCCGACGCTTTCAAGTGAGGCACGCGGGGCCTCCAGCGTCGGCACGCGGCCCGCCGGCCCACGAGTGGGAGAGACCACCTGCTGGACTGGAGTAGGGGGTGGGGAGTAGTACTGTATTTCTTTCCCCCTTTAGCCAGCCGAAGCAGTCCCGTCCGTCCGTTCTTGTCTCCGCCCACTTCCAACTCCCACCCCCTCCGCGTGCCCTTTCCACTTCCGCACAGCAGCCAGCCAGCCTTCCTTCCTTCCTTCCCTCCTCCTCCTCCTCCCCCCCTCATCCCTCCTCCCCGGCCTGGGGCTGCGGAGCAAGAAGAGAAACGTAAGAGAAGGGAGGGGGAGGGGAGAAAAAGGAGCGGGGGGGGGGGGGAGAGGAGAAAGAAAAAAACACCAGTAGCCGGCCAAGAGAGGGAGCGCGTGCCCCTAGCCGAGGCAGGTAAACGTAATCTCTGGGCGGCGGCGGGGGGTCAGGAGCGCGGCCTAGTTGGGAAGCGTCGCGCGGCGGAGGCTGAGGGTGGGGGTTACTATTCGTAGTGAACGGATCCGGCCTCGCGCGTGCAGCACTAACGCCCCCCCCCACCGCCACGAACGAGCCTCCGCCCGAACCCCCCGTCATCCGGGTCTTAGTAGCCTCCTCTGTTTTAACCACCGCCTTCCCCCCCACGCCGGGGGCTCCTGACCCCGCCCCTTCCTCGTGCGCCCCCTGTCAGGCTTCCCCCAGGAGCAAGGGCCCCTCGTGCTCCCCTTGGAGGGCCTGTGGCACAGCTTCCCCATCCCTTTCCCTTCTGTTCCGAATCCCACTTCGCTGCTCCCTTTGGGGGCTGCTAATTCGTCCCCCCAGTTTAACAGTGTTAGCTAGCCATTTTTTAAGCCATGGTGGTTTACTCAGCAGTAAGGCCAAGCGAGTCCAATGAGACTTCCTCCTTGGTAAGTGTTCTAGGATTTCGGCCTTTTTTTTTTAGTGTAGAATTGTTTATTAAAGTATCTGTTAAACTGCCTTTCATTAGTTAGCTATATTGTGCTTGGGGGTTGAGGGAGAAGGGGTGGTGGTTCCCAGTGGTCATGCAAGCATAAGACCCAGTCATAATAGCTTTAAAATGCAGCAGGGCAGATCAGACAACTAAAATGTTGTCACACTGAAAAGTGCTGTAAGTCAGAAGAAGTAAGCCCCCTTGAGCTCCATAGAACTTAACTCATGTGTAGGGATGGAGAAGCTGTGCTTCCTTGGATGTTGTTTGACTCTAGCCCCCATCGGCCCTAGCAAACATGGTCAGATGTCGAGGCCAGGGATGAAGGGAATTGTAGTGTAGTAACATTCGGAGGGACACAGATTCTCCAAATCTGGTGTATCTCCATCTCTGTGTCCACCTTGCAGATTTCATTCCTCTGGTGATGGTTATTTATCAACATGCTTGTGCAGTGTGTGTGTTGGTCCAGAATAACTACTGTTCTTCAGGACCACTTGGACTTGCATTATCACACTTTACACCTAAGCATGCATTGAAAAGGTAGAGAAAATAAGGGTTGGTGAATAACTAATTGGCAACAAAGGTTCTTGCGTATACACCCTTACCTTTGCCTTGCTCCAAAACACTCTGCACATTCCCAAGTGTTCAGAGTGTTCAGCCAGTAGTATCACCTGACTTTTTATTACATTACTCAAGCCTATCTTCACCCTCCCACTCACACTGATTAGCTGCTCATATGCTCGTTCCTGGTGGTTTTTGAATTTGCTACAGTAGCGTGGTCTATACTTTGATGTCTTTTTCTTAATCATTTGCAGATTAGCTTCTCTAACAAACCTTGGATGTTTTCACTGATATTTCTTACTGATTGCATCCTAAGCATTTCTGGCCTTTCAACTTGAAATGTGCATATTTAGAACCTTATCAAGAATGATTAGATTTTTATACTTATAAAGTGTAAGTTTGATAATTGCTCAGCCACTTAAAAATCTTTCACCAAATGTAAGATACGCTTTTATAGTATAACATTTTTATTTTTTATTTATTTATTTTATTTATTTAACTTTATTTATACCCCACCCTCCCTGGCCAAGACCGGGCTCAGGGCGGCTAACATCAGGTATAAAAACAATTGATTAAAATACAACTTAAAAAGAAGATTAAAATACTACTTAAAATGCACTTAAATTCACTTAAAATGCAGCCTCATTTCAGTGGAAGCCCAGATCAAAAACTGTTTTGGGGGAGAAAACGTCAAATCTTCATCAAGGCCAACTATCCAGACAGGTCCTACATGGGCCAGAAAAGCCAGGGAAGTCCCCAAATAGGGATTCCATCACAGAAGGAAAAGGAAAGAGGGGGAGGGAATCAGGCTGGTTCCAAGCCAAAGGCCAGGTTGAACAACTTTGTCTTACAGGCAAGAAAGCAGATTCCGCAGGTCCCTGGCCTCATGAGAGAGCGATCCACCAGGCCGGAGCCAGTGTTGAAAAGGCCCTGGCCCTGGTTGAGGCTAATCTGACTTCTTTCAGTTTTTCAGACTTGCTTTACAATAACTTTTAGCACTTGTTCATGGTGTAGTTCTTAATTGATGTATTAAGTGTTTTAATGTTGCTGGTTTATGGTTACTTTAAGAGCAAGGTTTTTAGGGATGCCTAAAACATACTCTGATCCATCTAATAATAATTGGTTTGGTTGCAGCATTCAGACATGCTGTGAAAAGGCTGCAGAGCCCCCTGCCCCTCAACTTTCCATCTTGTTCCTCATCAACTTCCTCTGTGATTAAATGCTACAGATAATTTGGTATCATGCAGTTGTAGCTATCACATGTTCAGGTCTTAAACAGCCCAGACCAGTTGTGTTTATTGAGGAGCCCTACCGATTTTGGGGGGGAATTTACAGAAGCCGTAGTTCCACGTTGTAAATGGTAATTTTATGTCTTGTGTGATCTGTGGCCAGAAGGGGAAACTTCTCAAGAATTAAAGCACAAGGATGAAGTAATTATGGTTGGGTATGAGAAATGTTACTGCTGCACATTTTGCTGAGTGCATCCATAGCACTTGTGGTGTTTTGTGATCTCTCAGTAGCCAGTAGGTGTGTGTGTGATATATATATATTAATTACAGTCTCAGTGCATTGGTTGCTTATTCTGTAGTGTGTATAATGGACTAAGATGGAGAAAGTACTTTGATTCAGGAAAAAAAAAGTATTGGAAAGTGTTGTCACAATATAGCCATGCCACTGAAATTATGTACAAAATAAGCAACAGAAAGGGATGCAGGTCATGACAGTTAAATTGATCTGAAATATTAATTGTATTAATTTACAGATAATTTTCAGGTTGACTTTAACTGGTGTTTCCTTTTAAACTACTTTGGTTTGTAAATAAAGTAAGGAATTCTTACTGTTCTTGGTACCACTACTGTGTTACCTGTTTCACTTCCGTTGCATCTCTCTACCCCAGCCATAACAACTTGTTCCTGTTTTCCCCTGTACTGTTCAGTGCTGTGACCTTGCATGTTTTCATGTGGAGCACCCTTCTCACTGTAGAACTTCAAAGATTTCTCCCCTCCTGCCCCAACATACACATTTTAGAGTAGACGAAGAGTGCTCTTTTGGACTGTATCATCTGTATGCCAAATCGATGCCCTAAAGGTTTGAAGAGAGGTCTTTAGTAGCTGCTTTGCAGTCTTGGAATTCATTTTCCTTAGAGTTACATTGTGGTTCAAGTCTCAGTGTTTCTTGGATACACTATCAGACTGGATATGGTTTAAGCAGATGTTCTTTTTACAGTACTTCTAAAAACATGGTTATTTTATTCTGATGGGTTCACGGTGTCATACTTTCAAATCACCAATATGTGTGTTGAGATCTAGATAATGAATGAGATAGAAATTGATTGAAATAAATGAAAATGTGCGCTACCCCAGTCTTTAAAAACTGCATACTAGTTGGCATGCTTTTAGGCATTTTGAGATGAAAACAGTTCATTCTGTGTTTGGAAGACGTATCCTGGTTGTATGACACATTTGTCTGGGCTAGCTTGGAAGAGGACAAAATGAAACTGCACACCTGACTGAATTGTTCTAGCCATAGATCCTTGTATTCCGGCTTTTGATTTCCTGCTTGATTATGTTGATGACTGATGAAGTGTTTCATATGATCACCATGGCTTCTTTTAGCCTTTCAGGAAGGCATGCCAAACTTGGTGGCCCTACATTACAGCCTGCTGGAAGGCTTATAAACATGTTGTTTTTTGCACCCCTAAGCAACATAGGAGGATATACCATAGTTGGGACATAGCTCCTTAAAGGTTGTTCTGATTAGGTAGATTACCCTCAATTTTTGGAAGTGTAGACAATTCAGTTGTGCATGAGCAATGGACAAAGCATGAATTCTTTACATAGAAATTCAATTTATTTCTCTGGTACTTACTTCAAGTAAGTGTGCTAAGGATCAAAGGAAACTGCCCCATATGAAAGAGCCTGACTTACTTTGGTTGAGGTTATTGAAATTTCAACTATGGTTGCAGTGTGTTTATGTGTGTGCTTTTTTAAAAGGGAAGTGGCAGAGCAATCTAGTATTGTTTTAAAGTACAGCTGAACAAGTGAAGAAACTTTAGCTTGGAAGTGTTGTTTCCTTAATTTTGGAAATTAAACTTGTTGACTTGAAATACATTGTGATACAACATTGATAATATTCTGTATTATCTGCATAGGCAAATCTTACTCATAGTGCAGTCCTCCACAAATCATGGGTACTGACTGAAGTTATGAAAATGTGACCTACTACTTGTGGTTTTGCTTAAGCACCCGTTGAGTGAAATTGTCTGGGGTTTGGAAGGCACAAGACACCTTTAGTGAGATTGAAATCAATATGGCATTCAAATTCCACTTTGGAATCTGTAAAGGTGGATTTTGAAATCAGATATTGGCTTAAATATTTTGAATCACACTCGTGGGTGGGTTCTTATTTAATGTTCACAATTCATCCTTGACATTTTGAAATGTATTTTTAATCCTTAGACACTCTAATCAAAGAGAAGGCAACATCTTTTTTTTAAGCAATTGAGAATTAACTGAGGCATAAGTATATTCATCACTGCAGTTCCATTTCTGCTGTGTTCTGGCTCTGTCCTGGCATCTAGAGATATGGGTAGTGGATTGTGGTTGCAATTGGACCCATGCCAGTCACAAAATGTGCCTGGTTCCTTGTTAATTTCGAACACTGGAGATAGGCCTTTGGTCTGATTCAGCAGTACTATTCTTGTGTTCTTAAGGCACTTAAAAACAGCAGAAATTATCTAGAATTGTTGTGATTTTCCTGAGGATTGTTGAGAGATAGCTTCTTCATATGAGCTTGGGCTGCTTGGGTCTCCTCCAATAGTGGGTCTATAACTTGCAAATGGTACCTTGAAGATTATGGACCTCATAGGGCTTTTGCATATCTTTTAGACTCTCCTGGACTGCAGATGATCTGGGACACCTAACTAGTGTTAAATTGAGTGGAGAATAATATTTTTGTTTTTCATTCTCTGTAATATTCCTTATATTGATAGCAGTTGCAATGCACAAAATGTAGTGCACAGTATAAAAAAAGTAGGGACTGGTCACTCTTTGAGTTTGGAAGATTGCTTTGATATTTTACCAACTAGAAGTTACCATTCCTCCTAGGAGTTAGCCATGAGTGTTGAGTGATGGATACTGGTGGCAGAGAGAGCATAAGGGAAATGGGGGGTCTTTTGCCAAAGACACCCATTTGCAGACATCAGCTAACTACACAGAATGCTTCTATTTGAAAAATGACCCAGCTTCTACAGAGACAAGAGCTGATATAAGATAGATACAAAGCTGCTGCTTAGACAAATGCTCATTAGAGCATTCAGAGACTTCAAGATTTTTACAGTGATGCATTGTTTCAGATAAGAGTCCTTTACAGGTGATGCCTTGTGGATGTAGCCCTTTAAATAGGCAAGATGAAGTAACCAATGCTGGTTCCAAAGTTGTAAATGTCTTGTGAACAGGAACAGAAACAGCTTCCTAGCGTCCTTATAATAGGAAACAACAGTGTACCTTGTGGTATATCATAATTACTGCCAAAGGTTTTTGTGGCATACCTCAAGCACAACAAACTCTCATTAAACTTGAATTGAATCCTGACAGTTGGTGGCTTCAGTCAAGCAGTTCTATGACAATGCAGTTAGTGTTATGACTTCTGCATAATCAAATTGAAAAGCAACAATTACCTGAAGTAATCACATTTACCTAATTAGAAAATGGCTTTCTTTCAGTAGGCAACGCTTTAGAAGCTTTGCCAAAAGTGTGGTGGCCATGATGCTTTTGAGTCTTTCAGCTAAACTAGTTTGCAGAGATTCTAAAAACTTGCCCAACAATTGAAGGTTTGACTGTTGAAATTGAAGCTTATAAGGGGAAGTTCATCCATCCCCTATACATTTCCATAGGATTTACTGTTTTCTGTATGCAGACATAAAACTCTGCTAAAATTCAGCTCTCCTTAGACTTGTTGCAGTTGCCTTGGTAGAGTAAATGGTAGAGTTTTATATGCTCTTCATATTAAAAGGGTCTTTTGAATTGAGGCTGGTTTTAATGCAACAACTTATGTCTGGAGAGATATGTTAGTCTGTGCTGATACTGTTTTATCTTGGATAAGAGCTTCATAAAAATTACTCTAACTTTTATAATAAGGCTTAATATTGTTTTTCATGTATTAAATTGAATTAATATAGGAATACATATCTCAACTTGTTTTGGATTGAAAGATGGCTGTCACATTATGATGGCAGATTTTGACATATCTGAGATACTGATTCTCCCTTCAGATTACAGTTTTTCAGAGTTAATATACAACTTAGTCAACTTCAGTGGGGATTTAAAAAGATTAGCGGCCTATTTGACAAGATGATCAAATAAGAATCATCCAGATTTGAATGCTTTACTTTTTAATGTAAACCTAGGGCTGATGTACACTTCTGGTGGCAAATATGGGTCTGCAAAGCTTGACTGATCCTTGCAGCTAGATAGGGGTGGGGTTTCAGTTTCTAGGGGAATAGAAGCAGGTGGGTGTGAGGTACTTAATTCTTCCCTTGCTGCTTTTGCTCACATCACAATTCTTTTCTCCACTGTTTTTTCTCATTTTATGTGGGAGACCCCATACCTGGGAAACTTTACTGAGAGAAAAAGAGGTGCAGGAGGGGGTTTCAGGGGAAAAGCAGTGGACAAGGGTATGTTATGAGACCCTTTACAATTATTTTACTTCAGGCTTCTCAAAAAAAGTTTGCAAAGTTAGCAAGTGGGGAGAAACTACAGTGCTTTTGTTCTGTAAATATGGCCCCCTCCGTGGCTCGGGTTACCATGTGTGCATTTGACCCATATATAAAGTTTACCAAACCTAAAATTAAATTGCTAAGTTTTTTGTTGTTGAAAATTATTTTAAATAAAGCAAATACAATTTTTTAATAAAAAGAGAAAGAAACCATTTTTGAAGAGGTATTCAAAATAGTAAAAAGCCAGCTCAAATTTATTATTAATTTTTAGGTAATTTTATAATTCATAGCTTATTTTTCTTATGGTATTTTTCTTGTCTTTCTATAGGGATTAAAGACACACAGGAGTCTTCATGGATATAGTTGATACATTTAATCATTTAATTCCTACTGAACACTTAGATGATGCCCTATTTCTAGGATCCAACGTGGAGAATGAAGTCTGTGAGGATTTTAGTACAAGTCAAAATGTCTTAGAGGATTCGCTGAAGAACATGCTCAGTGATAAGGACCCTATGCTAGGATCTGCAAGTGCTCAGTTCTGTTTGCCTGTTTTGGATAGCACTGATCCCAATTTCCAGATGCCTTGTTCAACAGGTAAATCTTAATATTTTTCAAGTATACACTTTTGAATAGAGCAGAAGCTGGTGTTGTTCCATTTTGCTCTGAAAACATGAATCCTTTCCCCCCGCTCTGCTTCATGGCTTGGAGCCTAAGGTTAAGCCACTAGCTTTCCTTCACTTCACTTGAGGTAACCATTATATTTATTGAGGAGCTTTAAAATAAGTTGTGGAGAGGAATACTTAGGATTATTTTCAGATAGTGTTTATCTTACTAAAATAGGGATTTGGTTTGCATAGCATTGCAGTTTTAGGTTGCACTTGTTTCAGAAAGCGTACCTCTTGATTTGACTGAGGTACTTTCATTTCATTTAACTTTTAATTTGTATACCGCCTTTCTATATTCCTATACACAAGGCAGTTTGCAAGCTGAAGAATTCAACAAAATAGACAGCAAAGATCACACACCTAACAATCTGATCCAATACAAAAAAGTCATGATAAAAGCATAACTTTAAAATAAACAACTTGCATTGAGTAAAGTGGTGTTCAATAATCTATTAGAATATAATAGTAAATAATAAAATTAAATATCAGCAAATAATAGTTAAATAGTTTGCACTTAACAATTGCAATAAATAATTACTAAACTATAATCAATAAAATTGATGGCAAATTACCGTGCATAAAATACCACAAAGCATACAGCACCATGTAAAAGGATCAAATTGAGAAACAAGGACACACAACTTACAAAACTACTAAAAAAAAGAAGCCCTGAACTCTTCTTTTCTTTTCCCAGCTGTTTCTGCTCTTCTCAAAGTCATTGTCTGGGAAATACTCCTAGGGCTGCAGGGTGGGGCAAGGCAGGTGGAAAAAGCCATTGCCTGATGGCCAGCACAAGCTCTCTCTCCCCTCACAGTTCTTTATTTGGAAACATCTCTCTTATGAAGGCTCCTCACAGTGGCAGCAAATCGTCATTAAAGGGTTTACAGAGCAGATTGGATATGCATTCATCAGGTAGATGATGTTTCAATGCAGAACGTTTCCTTTGGATGACTTCTAGGGTATTTACTATAAAATGGTTCTCTTGTTTGGGGTGCCTACTATGTTACGTATTTTTAATGTTAAAATTTGATCGTTCTATGGTGGTTCCCTGTGTAATGTCATCATAAATGATAGTACCTTATGGAGCAAGTTGACTGCCAGCCACGAACAATGGGGTTGAATGGAGCACAGAGCCACTGGGCCCTTCTGCTTCCAGTGGTCAGGATTGGAGGTAGGAGGTACAGTGGAAATGCTATTTTCCACTGCACCGTTATCAGGCTGTCTTATACTGAGTGAGATTATTGGTCCATCTAGCTCAGTATTGTCTATACAATATGGCAGTGATCTACCACCCTTTTTAAAGGGTTCAGGTCAAAGTTGTTGAGCGTTTTTTTAGAGAGGGGAATTGCACCGTTTTATTGGGGTTCCAGTTTGGGGGGGCTGGGAAAATAGAAGGAGGGAGGGGATTAGTCACTCACCAGATGATCACTGTGGAAGCAATTTGCCTCACACCAAAAACTCCCTCTTCCATTCCAGAGATCAGGAGAAAATGCAGGGAGGGGAGAGGGGGCGAGGCAGGGCAAAGGAAAATGAGACAGCGATTGACTGCAACCTGTTGGACATCCTGGTCTACACTGACTGGCAGTAGCGGGAGTCTTTCTTAGTCCTACCTGGAGATGCCTGGAATTGAATTTGGGACTTTATATATGGGAAGCAGATGTTCTGCCAATGAGTTGCAGCCCTTCCCGCAAAGGAACACCTCTGCTGTATCTTAACTTCCTTCAACGGGGCAGATCAGAGATTGTAGCTTATATAGGCTACTGACATATTGGAATCTATATTTTGTTGTTGTTGTTGTTTAGTCGTTTAGTCGTGTCTGACTCTTCGTGACCCCATGGACCAGAGCACACCAGGCACTCCTGTCTTCCACTGCCTCCTGCAGTTCGGTCTAACTCATGCTGGAATCTATATGTCTTTTTGCAAATAATTACACATCTTTTTCAAACCCATGCAATCATTCGGTCTCCCTTCTAAGCAAGTGTTTAGCCACCACACGATCCTAACATCCTGCTTTTCCCATGTTATTGTTGCGCCCAGCTCCTGTTCACCCAACTCCTCCTTGAATATTAGTGTGGAAAAGAATAGGAGGAATTTCATGGCATTTATTTATTTATTATTTAACCATTTCTATACTGGTTAATTTAATATACTAATGCAAACAATTAAAAAACAACACAGTGCAGGGTTAATAAAAAGTGTAAACCCACACAGCAATGTAAAATCAGTAAGCAACACTTAAAAATTAGCAAGGAGTATACAAGATAGCTTTAATAACTAAAAGCAAGGAATTTAAAAAGCCTGGGAGAGGAAAAAATGTTTTACATATAATTGAGCATTAAAAGTGGCTACTGATGAAAATTGAACTTCCATCCGAAGGCAATGTGTTTAAAACTCTTAAAAGAAACATTGGTCAGATGTAATGCTTTCCAGAGGGCTAACCACCTTAGGCAACAATTCTGTAATTGCTTACTTGGGAATGAATGGGGCCCATTCAACTCAGTAGGACTTATTTCTGAGTAAGATTGTATAGGATCTCTCTGTTAGTCTGTTGCAGCAACAGTTTTGTACCATTTTAAGACTAACTTGGCTTCTGATGAAATTGACTGTAGTCCACAAAACTTTATACCATAATACATGTGTTAATCTTTATGGTGCCACACTACTGTTTATTTGTTTTCATGGGTCACAGTGTAGCAAATGCTGTTGTTTTGAAGAAATAGTTTAAGAAACAAGTCTTTAACTATGCTTTTATCATCTTTTAATCAATGAACCTTACACTGAATGGCCTTAGTAGAAAATTACTGAGTACTTTTCCAGTCCAGGATTCCTGCTGTGGCCATGGTGGGCTCCTAATAATGGTATTTTTATACTCGGGATTTGGTTGGGGACAGAACAGTTATGCAGAGATGCAGAAAAAGCAACCCCCCATTATTAATTTTTTGGTAGACACTGACAATTTCTTGCAAATATTGTTGGAAAATAGTAGTAGCTGTGTTGACTTTTCTCTTTTGATCACTAACTTTGGCAGATTTTGTAGAAAGGGAATTGATCAAACATTTTACAGTACTAGCAATTTGGCTTATACTTCCATCTCTTCCCCATTAAGTTGTGCATGCTGAGCAAGCGTAGGATGTCTAGTCAGAAAAGTCACAGTCCTAGCCAGAAATAGGTTGGCGGTAACCAACATAACAGTGGCAAACCTTGGTGTTCCAAATTTCAGTGGCACCCTGTGTGACACCAAAATCTGCACCCCAATCCCCCCTCCCCGTCTCTCACCTTCTATTGGATGTCATAGTTGTGGTGCCTCATAGTTGCCCCATAAGCTCCGTGCCCAGTGTGACTGCACCATTTGTGCTCCTTTATATCTCCCTTTTAACATACTGTACCTTGTTGAATGCATGATATCTAGCTCCCTGGAATGCTGGGGTTAGGGAGATACAGTTTATAGAAGTTTCCGATGCAGCTGGGGCACTTCACAGTTTAGATTTGATGTAGCAATGTGTCCTACATGCTGAAATGTGTGGTTTTTTTTTTTTTAAAAACCCCAGCATAGATTTTCAGTCAGTAGGGATGAGGGAGGTAATCCTGCTCCCCCTGCAGCCACCCCACTCCATGTCCCATGCTATTGTAAAAGGTCTTTCAGTCCTTTGGAACAGAGTTTTGGGGGTGTGCATAGTGGAGGGGGAATCAGCAAAAATAATTTCCTTTCCCATTCCACTGATAAAAGCACCTGCTGGATCAAACAGTCTTTGATTAGTGTGAGGGACGCTATTGGATTTAACAAAATTCTTTTAAGAACCTGACGTGCATTATGTTATAACTTAGCAGGTGGCATTGATAGTTTCCATTGCCAGCTTACACTTTTCTGAAGTTTCAGTGGGCAAAATCTAATAGATAGTTGAGTATCCTAGGGTATAGTGCAGGGTATTTGATCTGAAAGACACTGAGGCATTTGTACATGTAGATTTCATAAATCAATTTTCTGCTTAGCTATAAGCATCTGTTTCCAGTTTGGGCCTGCCTGATCTTATCTTGCTGGTGTTCTTGGTTGAATAGCAGATGGCGGTTCTTTTTCCTTTGGCCAGTGGATGAGGTCTGAGTTTCTGTTTTCCCTTCCTTCTGCAGTCTTGGGGCAATTGGTAGCTGGAGCTGACAATTCTTTTGGCAGGTGTGGGGAAAGCATTTACCCTTGAGCTGCCCCTTCTATTCTCAATGGATGGGATGAGGCTGGTCTCCTCCTTAACATGATGTTCTTCCTGGGATGCTAGAGGAACACCTTCCCACTGGCCCTTGATAACCTGGCTGATCGTTCAGAGCAGTGTGTGCTGCCTTTCAATTCCGCAGCCCCATTTTTTTAATTAGCTTGTACAGAAGCATAATACAGTGGTGCCTCGCAAGACGAAAAGAATCCCTTCTGGGAGTCTCTTCGTCTAGCGGTTTTTTCGTCTTGCGAAGCAAGCCCATTGACGGATTAGCGGATTAGCGCTATTAGCGGCTTTTAGCGGCTTTTAGCGGCTTTAGCAGCTTATCAGCTTATCGGATAAGCAGATAAGCGGCTTAGCGACTTAGAAAAAGAGGGGGAAAAGGAAAAAAAAAACCCAGGAACTCGCAAGACATTTTCGTCTTGCGAAGCAAGCCCATAGCAGATTCGTTTTGCGAGGCACCTCCAAAACGGAAAACTCTTTTGTCTAGCGAGTTTTCCGTCTTGCGAGGCATTCATCTTGCGGGGCACCACTGTATAAAGGCATCCTATATATTAGGATTGCCACACGTTTGAATTTTCCCGGTCATATCGAGAATACTGCAGCTGCAAGCAGCGTCTGAGCAGAAATCGACTAAATGTCTTGGAAGATCTGGACGTATGGCAGCCCATGTTGGCTGGGTCATTGTTGCTGATTTTCCTTAGAAATAGCTCGAAAATGTCTTATTTCTTTGCAGTTTTGCAAAAAAAGCTCAACTTTGGCTCAAAATAAGAAGCTCAACAACTTTTTTGTCTGGATTTTTACTTTTTGAAATATGATAACCCTGCTCTATATATAAACATTGATGCCTTTTTTCTCCTTACCCTAATATTTGCCTCTAGTAGTTTGTGCTGGTGGTTGACAGTTCTTACAGACCTACCATTGCATTTCTAAAAATATAGCTTTTAATATTCTAAGACCTTTGTTCTCTGAGCTATCCTCCTAATGATATAATAGCAAATGGAACTTTTTTTTTTTTGTATTTGCTTTGATATACTCCCAAAGGCGTGTTTACAATCTGACATCTTGTTCCATGTCTTTCTCCCTTCCCCTCATCCCCTAGCTAGTGTAATACTAGTTAGCATATGCTAGTTAGCATATGCTTCTATGCCCTTTGGCTAGGATCCATAGTTTCATGCAACTAATTCTGTGCGCCCACTGGGGCTTTGACTTGTTTGCTGCATGGCAAACTCAGGAGACTTTCCCAAGCGTGAAAGTTTATTGAAGTCAGAAATAATTTTTAAATAAACTTTATTGAATTTATTAAAATCCACTGGGTGAAAGTTCTTGGGTTTCTTTAGATACTGACCATTGTTTCGTAGTGTGGTGAAGCTGTCTGGCAGGTTTTCTGTTTCCCTTGGCTCTCTTGCTTAAAATGCAAGGAAGACCCGAATGGATCCCTCTCTTCCATCAGTCTACCTAATCAAGCTAATAACAAATGGTGAGCATTGTTAGAGGCATTTACCTTTATACTTCTCTTGGGACTGGTTTGGCTACTTGACATTTCTCTGCGTAGAGCAACCTCTGGACGCAGGTGCATGGAGGAGAAGCTTTCTGACATGGCATATCCAAACTTACAGGCAGGGCAATATCCAGGTGGCATGGGATCCAGGGCCCCCTGTTACATTTTTATATAGGTGCAAGTTGCTTCTGAAACAGTACAAGGAGGCGGAACCCAGTGCTAGAAATTCTGGTATATAAGGTGGTCGCCAAATGGCACCTTGAATCTTAGGTTGCGGTCGCCACAACGGAATGTCTATTCGCTAGGGGTTGGATGAAATGGCCCTTGGGACCCCTTCTGATGCTACAATTCTATGATTCTATGATCTCTATAGCTTGCTCTTATAACAGTTCACTTGCCCAGTATGCAAGAAGGAGAAACATGCACAGTGGAAATGAAAATGGTATGAATTATGGAGTAGGATAGAGCTTTTTAAACTGTAGTTGCCCACATGGCGCCCAGAAAGCTCAGTGTAATTGCAATTGGACGTGCGCCAGTAGCAAAAAGCATCTGGCTAATTTTGAACACCTTGGAGCAGCATACAGTCCCATGTCTTAAGAGCAAACATCTAGAAGAATCCTTAACTCCTTTAAATAGATGCTAGGGATTTAACATATAATAATAATTTATTATTTATACCCTGCCCATCTGGCTGGGCTTCCCCAGCCACTCTGGGCGGCTTCCAACAAAATATTAAAATGCCGTAATACATCAAACATTAAAAGCTTCCCTAAACAGGGCTGCCTTCAGATGTCTTCTAAAAGTCTGGTAGTTGTTCTCTTTGACATCTGGTGGGAGGGCGTTCCACAGGATGGGCGCAACTACCGAGAAGGCCCTCTGCCTGGTTCCCTGTAACTTGACTTCTCGCAGTGAGGGAACTGCCAGAAGGCCCTCGGCACTGGAACTCAGTGTCCGGTTACAACGATGGGGTGGAGACGCTCCTTCAGGTGTACTGGGCTGAGGCCCTTTAGGGCTTTAAAGGTCAGCACCAACACTTTGAATTGTGCTCGGAAATGTACCACGAGCCAATGTAGGTCTTTCAAGACCGGTGTCATGTGGTCTCAACGGCCACTCCCAGTCACCAATCTAGCTGCCGCATTCTGGATTAGCTGTAGTTTCCGGGTCACCTTCAAATGTAGCCCCAACTTGAAATTGTATACATACAAAATACACATTATACTACCACCAGGCCAGCAAAAACAAAACAAAGAACTTTAGAACTTTAGGGATTGTGTTATAGCAGTTATTTCTAGGACACATGCCTTATCCACTTGCTTTGTACAATAGCTTTGCTAATAGCAAAATGTAAAATTGTATTTAATGATATTCTCCAGTCTTTTCAAATATTACTTGCTAATGCATAATACTGGCAGAGCCAAATGGATATGTGCCTTTCTTTACCCAGGTGTTAAAATTTCAGAGGCAAAGCAAAATGTGTCATCTGATGTTTGGAAATTGGTAGGTGGGCAGTCCCACCCACCTGTCTAAATGTCCCATGAGGATTAGGCTATTAAAGGATATGGATTACTGACTAGAAATGCCTCCCTACTGGTTCCACGTTTAGTTCTTCCAAAGCATAATCATTTAGTACTTGTAGAAACTTGACTCTTTGTTATCACTACATTTTCTTTTATGTTGTCAGATTTCTGGTAGTTGGAATTCATCCCTTGTTGCTTCATTTCCAGTGCATGTTGCATTCCTTTCCTTTGGAGTTTGGTATATTACTTTTTTTCTGGCGTTTGTGTGCATGTATATTTATTTAAAGCATTTTTATTCAGCTCAAAAAGCTCCTGTAGTGGCTTAAAGGTAAAGGACCCCTGACAGTTAAGTCCAGTCACAAATGACTATGGGGTTCACGGCGTTTGTCCACAGATAGTTTTTCCGGGTCATGTGGCCAGCATGATTAAGCCGCTTCTGGCAAAACCAGAGCAGTGCATGGAAATGCCATTTACCTTCCTGCCGCAGTGGTACCTATTTATCTACTTGTACTTTGACGTGCTTTCAAACTGCTAGGTTGGCCGGAGCTGGGACCGAACAATGGGAGCTCACTCCGTCATGGGGATTCAAACCGCGACCTTCCAACCGGCAAGCCCAAAGCTCAGTGGTTTACACCACAGCACCACCCACGTCCCCTCCTATAGTGGCTTACATGACATCAAATAAAAATACAATAGTCATTGCTAGTAGGTTTACACTTAAAAGACATGATATAAAATGGATTGCGGTATGGGGGAGAAAACAAGTAAGCTTAGGACCAATTTTTAAAGTTATATAGTAGTTCCTATAAGACCCCCTGGAATGGAAATAACTGAGGGAGTGGAGCAGCTCAGTGGAGCTGGTCTCTCAGCAGAGCTGATGAAATATCATGTTCACTGTCTACTTCCTTAATTAGGAAGATACAGTGGTGCCTCGCAAGACGAAATTAATTCGTTCTGCGAGTTTTTTCGTCTTGCGAATTTTTCGTCTTGCGAATTTTTCGTCTTGCGAAGCACGGTTTCCCATAGGAATGCCCTGGGTATTAACGGTTTTAAGAAAAAGGAAGCAAACTTGCAAGACGTTTTCGTTTTTCGTCTTGCGAAGCAAGCCCATAGGGAAATTTGTCTTGCGAAGCAACTCAAAAAATGAAAAACTCTTTCGTCTTGCGAGTTTTTCGTCTTGCGAGGCATTTGTCTTGCGAGGTACTACTGTACTGTATTTTAAATATTTCCACATTATGCATGTGGTGATTCCTAATCCAACTAATTTACTTTATTGTCCTAATCATTTTGTTGTTCATTTATTCTAGAAGATAATGACGGCAAGTGCTTCTTACCCATTATGTTTTTCTGTCTTGTTGCATCTGAAAAGGCCTTGAAATTATGAAAATCCTCTTTAAAAGTTGCTGTCGTGTGCGGGATTTTGCAGTTAGGAGGCATTTGTTCTGGTGTCTCAGAACAGTTGCTTTTGATTTTTTTCATCCTGTATCTTTTTGATTTTTTTACAAAAATGTGCAGAACATTAGATAGCAGCTGATGTTCCTGTGAATGAAAATGGAGATTATAGTGAGGAATGTAGGATGCCTGGGGACAAGTCTATTCACCCACTTACTTCACAGTATATGAAACAGTAGGGCAGGGTGGGGAGAACTCCATTCACCCTTCCTTGTTGGATAGTGGAGGCTTGCAGAAGTATTTTTCTCTGCTGCCTTGTTACAAAGTCTACCTCTTCTTTCTGAGTCTTCAGATTGGTAAAGATGAAAGTGAAGGGAGACAGAAGGGGTTGTATGTGGAAGATCCTTCCATGCCCCCTGCCGCCGCTTTAATATGCTGTTCTCCTTCCTTTCCTTTTATCCTTGTGGGTAGTTCTTTTAAAAATGCAGGTCAAAGTGAATAGAAGTATGAGCAGGGGCATCTCTTAAGGGGCCAGTTTTAACATAGGGCTTCTCAGTTGCTGATTCCTAGGGTAGATATGACATTGATGGAGTATGACTGCAGGTGTCAAGATAACTGGATAGATACACATGCTGAAACCATTCTTAAAGTGGCAGTTTTGTAGAGAAGTCTAGATTTTTGGCATATTTCACTATAACTTAATATATTTATTTTGGCCTGAAGTTGAATGAGTTTTAATGTAGTTTTAATGTATTTGTATACACTGTCTTGTGTACAAGGCTTGCATCCAGTGTAGTGCTAAGGAACTGCCCTGTAAGCACAATGATTTCTACTAGCACAAAAGGACTTCCCCCGCCGCCACCCCCCGCTTGCCCCCAGATGTGTTCTGGGGTTTTCCCTACCACTTCAAAGCAGATTTGGGGAGGGAAGGGGGGAAATGGGATGACTGGGTTGGATATCACCCATTAAATGCAGTATATAAATAATTCAGATAAACAAATTAAGGAGATACTGAGTGATTAGCTTTGCCTGCAAAAGCTGTTATGACTTTCTTAAATAAAATTGTGAATCCTAGTGTAGGTAGGAAGATGCCAAAGTGAAACAGATTTTTGTATGGGTGCTAATGGAAATGTTCACACTACCTCCTACAGCTTTGTCGCATGTAGGGGAAGAAAAGTTGGAGAAGGATTAGAATTAAAAGTTTCTTAGGGCATTGTGAATAATTGGCAGTTGTAATCATATTTGAAAGTGTGATATTCTGATGTCTCCTTTAGTTTGTTGTTTGGGGGTATGTTTTTTCCTTCTACTTTTTTTTACAGGACTTTTATTTTGTAGATTATGTTGTTAGGCTATCTAGAAATAACAAGCCAGGAGGAAAAAGAAACATAAGGACAAAAGCACCAGCTACTTTTGAATGAGTTTATGTCATCAGGGTTGGATGAATTGCATCCCAGGATAGTAAAGGAACTTTTTGATGTACTCTCGGAGCATCTGTCTAACACAGACCTTTATCTCCCACCACCTGCCTCATGGGCAATCCAGCCCACTTGTTAAAGTTGACTCCTGGGGGAGGGGTCTGCTTCGCCAGTGCATTCACCACAGGGAACAGAGTGGGTCTAGTCACTCCATGGATGAGCTTGAGGGTTCAATCCTAGAAATGAATTGATTGATGAGTATCTTGCAGCTCTCATAACTGGAGAGCTGTTTAGCTTGGCCAAACAGAAGTTGTGCAGGCCTGACTTGCACTCTTCATGTGTGAACTGGCCTTAGTAAGGGGGTAGGAATATGGCATTTAACGTTGATTCTGTGCATTTTTACATGGAAATAAATCCCACTGAGTTCAGTGGGGCATATTCCAGTTAAGTGTGCAGAGGGCTGCAGCCCTAGGCTATGGTTCTCAGTCTCTGACTGGGAGCTTAGCAGGTGAGTCATCTATTAATAGTTCTCATGATGCAGACTAACATGTTCTGGATTTTAAAAATCTAAAAGCAACTCTCTAAAATTAAAAAGGTAAAGGAGATTGTCACTTTTGGATCAGCTCTTTCCATTGTTAAATTCTCTTTCTCTTAGGTGGGAAGGGACAGTGAGGGGACAGCTGATCATTTAAGGACTGAGAACTTCCTGTGGCAAATCAATAAAATGTGAGTCCTTTAAAATTGGCTATGACTCTTTCTCAAGGACCATGTATGAGAAATATACTGCTCTGGATGACTACTTATTTTACCTGCCCAGTGGGATAGTTTGTATATCATGCTTCCTAATTATCCCTTCAGTCTTATTTCTCTCTGCGCCCCCTCCCCATGCATCATTTCCCTTTAGTTAGTCTAAGTCTCCCAGCTACTTTCATGAGACTGCAGCCCTAATAGATACTTTTAAGGTTTAGGATTTTTATTTCTATTTTTAGTTGTTGGACTTGATGATATTATGGATGAAGGAGTTAAGGAAACTGCCTGCCGTACCATTGATGAAGATGATCTTTCACCTAACAGGAATTTGAGGGACCAAATGGATGGAACGTCAGTCAAATCGCCAAGAAAATCTCCACGTCTAATGACACAAGGTAGGTCTTCTGAGGAAGTTCACATTTTTAGACAGCAAATCTCTGCATTTGATTTAGTGTGGGCTGATCAGTGTGTTGGAGTCTTGGTTCACTGCTGAGTGAACACATTCAGATACCTAAATGTAGTTATATATATTCTTTCTTCTTGTGTTTTATCACTTATAAATGCATCAGATTTATATTTTAAGTGGAAGTACATTATTTGCCATCAACAGTCTTCCCAGAGATAATGAGAAATTGTTAACGTGTTAAGATAAACTTATGATCACAATGTTAAGTTATACGAATAAGCTTATTTTTAGTTTACGATGCAATCTTATGCATGTCTACTTTGTAGTAAGTCCCATTGAGTTCAGTTGTGCTCATTCCAGGTAAGCAGGTACAGAATTGTTCCTTTTGTCTGTTATTTGGCAGATAGATAAAAATACTAAACACTTCATTTGCCTTTTTTAATAGAACCAGTACGAAGTCTGCGGCAGAGCACACTAGCCAAACGTTCAAATGCGTCACCATCTGTTAACCCCAAAAAATCAGCTGTGAAGTCTGGATCTGCTCAAAAGGGAGGACTGAAACAGCAGGATAAAGGGCAGACTAAATGGGAAAATAGTAGTGCCAAAGAGCATTCAAGAGATACTGAGCACAGTCGTAATGAATCCTGCCAAGAACAAGAGGCACTGGAAGTATCACCACCACCACCACCACCACTTTCTAGCAATGCAGAATGGGTTGCGTGTTGTGCAACTTCAGATGAAGTGAAAGCAGATAGTGAACATAAAAGTCCTAATCAGGCAAAACTAGAGGAAGCAGCTAATGAAGTAGGGAATTTTTCTCACTTACCAGGGACCAGTTCCCCAACTAAAGAAACTGAAAGCGTGACAAAAGTTGTGCTGCCCTATGGTAGTGGTGGAGTAGGCTTGGAAGCACCTGCCTTTACAGAAACTAATAAAATACAAAATAACAGTCTAGTTAAAAATGAAGGGAATGAGACCATGGTTAATAAATTCACTTCTGAAATGCCTTCAGATGAAAAGGCAAACATTAAAACTGAGGAGCTGAATGAAACTAAAATGGATGAGGAAAGCACGGAAACAGGGAAGGCCGATACTCCTTTTGTTACAACAGCTTATGAGAATGCAAGTGAAATTCAGGAAACCCCTTCAGTTCAGCCCAGTTTTGTGGATGGAAAGCCTGCCTGTGCCTCAAGCTTGCCAGCTCATCAGATCAGCTTGCCAGATGACAGAAAAGAGCCCTCAGATGACTCTAGAAAGGCTGGGTTGAAAGATCTTCCTTTAGGTAGCATGGAACTTGACCAGATTGATTCAAAAGGTGTCAATACCACTTCTGCCAAATCAGAAACAAATACTTTAGAAGATGGTATTGCTCAGTACATTCCAGTCCAAGCTATACATCAAGAGGCTGACAGTGTAAAAATGGGAGTTCATGAGTCACCAGGCTTGCAGGAAGATGGGCATACTGGCATTTCATCAAAATGTGTAAAAAATTTGAAGCCCAAGCACCCCAAGTCTAAACAAAATAAAACTGCAGCTGCCCAGCAGAAAACAGCTTCCGTAAACCAAGAGCTGCATGGCAAAACACATACTGTGTCAGCTGTTCACAGCCAGTCTTCAGTAAGTCTGAAGCAGCAAGTCGAGGAGCATGGGGATCTCCAGCATTTTCATAAGCCAGTGAAAGTTAAGAAAAAACATGCAGATAAAGATGTGAAGGCCCAGGGCTGCGAATCTGGAATGGCCTTAAAGAAGCCGCTGCAATTGTTAGGGAAAAACATTCCACGGGGCCAAATCCCACCACAGGTACGGAAGATGTCCGCAGAGAGAGCAAGTGACAAGTCTTCCAGCCATCATTCGGGTTCAAAAGAAATATCACACACAGTGTCGGGACCAGCACATCCTAAACAGGGGCAATTAGCCCACCACAACCAGAAGCAGTTACTGAAACACCCCCTTCTTAAAGCCAATAATTGTGTTAAAGAAGAAGGAGGGAAAAGAGATTCGGCAGGTGTGCCTCTGGATAATTTGAAAGAGGATGAAAAAGAGAAACTGAAACTCAGAAAGTTAGAGAGGAATCTTCAGCCTCGACAGAGGAGAAGCAGTAGAAGCCTTTCAGTAGATGAGCCTCCGTTGTTCATTCCAGATAATATCTCTACTATAAAACGAGAGAGCTCAGATCACCTATCTCCCACTGAGAGCAAAAGTCTCTGGGTACCTAGTAAGCAGTGTGGGTTTTGCAGAAAACCGCATGGCAACAGGTGTGTGTTTGTGTGTGTAGGTATATGTTTTTGTTGTTCAGATGTTTCAGTAATCAGATACCTGCTACTCATGTCCTGGAGTCTAGCACCCAGACTATCTTTTTTAAATTAACCACAAAGCACCCTGTCAACTTTCTAACATTATAGGCTCTTGAGCTACACTTTCTTAAGAAATTAGGGTAAACAAAATAGTGATGAGCTGTGATTACCCAGCGTAATAGTTTGAGTCTATTCATGTTTACACCGAAATAAATAGTTGCTGTGTTCTGTGCCGTCTGTGGCATAGTAAATGTGCTTCATGTCACAACATTGCAACATAGATATGCAGAAGAGGTTTCTCTGGAGCATTTCCTGCTGCCCCTCTCACAGTAGACAAGGCAATCTGCTGGTCAACTTTGAACAACTTCTGTGGGAGCTGCAGTAAAAAAAATGATAGCTCCAACTGGTTGAATAGCTAACATGCTGCATAAACATGATGCATAATTTTTTGGTATGGGGGATAGTAAAAGTGATGTTTGCTAGATGGAGGTATGTAATTTTCTCTGGGATATGTTGTTAGCTTCCTGATACTATCCACTGATGTGTGTTCTTTGGAAGAATGCAGTTGGCTTTTTTTCTGATGTTCCAATAATTGGGTTCTGATGAATATATTTGGTTTATATTTAATAATAATAAAAATAAATTTTTATTTATATCCTGCCCTCCCCAGCCGAAGCCGGGCTCAGGGCGGCTAACAACAATATTTAGTAAACAAAACTAACCAAAAGTATACAAAAATAATTTTACATGGTATTTAAATATCTCAAAAAAGTTTTACCCCCAGTAGTGAAAAGTAGTTGAACTGAAATATATAATCAGGAAATAAAATTGCTTCACTTATGTTTGATTAGGAAATCAAGCTCACTTAATGTGTTTTTAAAATGGCACACTTTACAAGTACAGTGGTACCTCAGTTTATGAACATAATCTGTTCTAGAGGTCCGTTCTTAAACCAAAACCGTTCTTAAACCAAGGCGCGCCATCCCTAATGAGGCCTCTCACCGCCAGTGCCCTTCTGCCGTTCGGATTCTGTTCTTAGACCGAGGTAAAGTTCTCAAACCAAGACACTATTTCCAGTTTTGCTGAGTTTGTAAACCAAATCGTTCTTAAACCGGACTGTTCTTAAACCAAGGTACCACTGTATTGAAGATGTAAAAATTTAAACAGGATGACTTAATGGCTTATGCTTCCCTGACATTATTTAAAAGTTAAAGAATTGGGGAGTTGTATTTCTCATCACTAATTGTGTCACATGATAAAAACAGCATGAGCCTATTAAAAAAAAATAAGTTGGAAAACAAAAACCTTTAAAGATATTATTTTCATAGGTCCAAAGAATTCTGTATTCCCCTTCTTACTGGTAATCATCTAAAATAATAATTAACACTTTGAAACTGCCCATTTTGCCTGGTATTTTAGCTTTTTATTGTGTTACACATTTTATGAAAAGAATGGATTTTAAGAAATGGATTTATCACATCAGTGCTGGCATCTGGAAACATTGATTGGCTTTGTTTGGACATCATGCAAATCATAGTATAATGCGATAAAAACCTGGTGTAGCTCTGAGGAGATTGGAAACTTATTCACTTCTGGTTCCTGTTAATCACAGTTTAGTGTGTTGTCATAACCCTAAACTGTGATGAAGTTAACTAGTTCATTTAAACAAATATCTTCATATCCCATTTTTGAAGTTGACCAACAAGCATAATAGACCTTAATCAGTTTGTTGGTGTCAGGGAACTGCCATCAGTGCCGGAGGGAGAAAGCAAAAGCCAGAGGGATTCCAGAGAGCATCCAGGGATTGGGAGAAGCAGCCCGTCTTCTGGGGAAGAGAATCAGCGTAGCACCAGTGGAGAAGGGGGGCAGATGGGGGAAGCGACGAGGCGGTCCCATGACTCCTTGCCTGGGACCAGCGGGGAGAGTAGAGGTCCTCCGCTGCCTACGCCCTCCTTGCGCAGAAGGCTTTCGCGCAGAGAGAGTAGGAGGAGACTAGGCGTCAAAGAGCTTCTTTGCTGGAAGAAGTTTAAGAAACGCCCACTGACGGATTCTGCCAGCGATTGAGTCAGCCACGGGTGAGTGGCTGTCCGGACAGAAAAGGTTCACTTTGGCAACCCAGCCAGGTGTTTGCACCCAGCCGGGGAGACAGGCACCTGCTTACGCACGAGCAACCCCCAGAACCATTACAGTTGGTTTGGACAACATGGCAAGTGATAGAAAAGCAACAATGGAAGCAAGAGTTTCTGAACTCTTTTATGGCCACACAGGAGGAGGGGCTAGAGAGTGTGAACCTAAACCTCACTGTAGCTTGTTCTTTTTATGCTAAATTGTGGTTTAACATGATGTCTGAACTGAGCAATTCTGTGCATAGAAATTTGAATTTCCTTTTTTTTAAAAAAAGGTTTCTGTAATTTAATAGATACCTAACTGTTGGTAACAGTGGTATCTCATTCTTCTGTTGAAAACGTTTACCACCTTTCTTTGTGGGTATTGTTTAAAATTGTGGAGTTGTATTCAACTAAAATAATTGCATGTGTGGAACAACTTTTCTTCCCTTGTGTGCCCACAAATCTGCCCTCTGGAATGTGGAGGAAGGAGAGGAAGGAAAAGTTCTGTTGCACTTGTGGAAGATATTATGCAATTATTTAGTTGGATACAACATGTGGTTTTTAAGATATCAGTTGCCTATTGCGTATTAAATTGATGGTCTCGTTCAGGTTGTTGGTACTGGTGGCAGCGTAATGCATTGGACCCAGACTTGTCCCTGCGTAAATTGAAGGGCTGTTTCCATTCATCCTAGGATCTGGGATGCAGTAGGGCCTTTCTTTTAGAGAAAGGGGCAAGTCCTCCATTTACTACCTTCCATACTGTTTTGGAAGATCATCTAACCATGCACTCAGTAGAATTCAAGTGGGGGAAAAAGTCATTGGGTCTTCATTGCCTAAATTTTAGTAGCTTTTTTATTATGCTTTATAGTGTGCAGCTGACAGAATAAATGATGCCTGACTTTAGAACAATGTAAAATTAGTCCCTGCCATTATAAGCATAATTTGATGACCTCTTCCTCCAAATAATACTGGTTCTGATAAGTAGAAATTATGGAGTATAGGAAAGTTAAGCTGGCATTTTCAGCATGGTGAATAAAGCTGTATCCCAGCAGCCCTAATGGGCATGCATAAATTTGCATTCAGGAGTTTGCCTTATTCTTATTGATATTGGGTAGTGTTGCATGTGTGCAGCAGGGAATAATTAAAATAACATTTACACAGAAATATGTGTTCATTTTGGCTGTTAAAACTAATGCTGAGTTTGGTTAATACGTTGTAATACGTTGTACTACGTTGTATTTAAAATGAATTTAAATGTGTAGTCTGGGGATCTTCTGCTTGCTGAAAATATAAGTGTAAAGGGAAACATATATAAAAACATACTTTTTGAAGTATGCTTACCACTGTACTTTCTATAGTTTGGTTCTTTTTTTACATTTGGAATAGAGTCACTTTCACTTATGGTGTACTGTTTGCCACTTGATAATTAAGTTAGTTCATTAATAACTTGCTTCACATGGTAAAATAATATTTTTTTACGTTTTTGGAAAAGTGCATCTAGTGATCCGCACTTGCAATGATACTACTATTTTCTTTTTAATCCAGTTACGCCAGGTTTCCTTTCAGGCTCAATTCTAACTTGAAACATTACTTTTTGTACCGGGGCTCTCGGCAGTGGTTTAAAACTGCAGCGCCCTTCACATTGTGTAAAGTGGATCCACATGATGAAACCACAGGGAGGCCACACTGCTGGTCCACTCACCCAGCTCCACTTCTTACCTCTGCATTTGAACAAATGCCTGAAGCGGGTAGGCAGTTGCACTTGTAGAGTCTCCTTCCATTTGATTGCCAGCTTGTACTTTGGGCCTTTTGATCATGTAGAAAAACCTTGAGAAATATAGCTGGCTTTCCCCTTCAGACCTTTGCTCGATGCTCAGAGGTGGAAGTGGAGCGAGGCAAGCGGGCGAAATGTCCATGGCCAACCACTCTTAATTGTGTGTAGCCTGTTCACTTGGATCATGTGTGAAAGGGGCTTGTTTCTCTTAGAATTACGAATATCCTACTGAGAATTATGAGTATCTTACTGAGAAATGTTTGAAGTATCTTTTCAGAAGAATGATGTGAACAGAGGTCATACTACGTCATTAAAAACTGCATAGGAATATATTGCTGCAGTACAGATGTGCACATTAAACGGTGGATTGGATCAATACTAACAAAATAATCATATGAATGTGTCCTCCAATGCATGTATGTATCATGTTTGCAGCCCAAGGGTGGAATCCAGAGCTGACCTCTCTACTGACAGAAGGCATTCATCAGAGGAATTGGGGTGGGAGGAAATTTTCAGTGATTCCTTGTCCATCTTGCCCCTCCTTAAATCTGCTTCATAGGATTTTGGGGCTACCATATTTTTGAAGGGCATGGGGGTGGGGTTGCAGGTGGAGGGGGTATTACCAAAAATCACTGCCCTCCCACAGGTTCCCCATCTCTGTCCAACACTTAAACATTTTACTTTTTTGGAGGGTAATTCTCTTTTTCCTCCCCTTGCCCCTGCTTAAGTTCTTCTTTAGCATTTGAAGATCAGATTGTCCTTGACATGAGAAATTTTTTACAGTTATGCCCTCAGTGTGGAATTTGTTGTAGAATCAGGGTCTTCCATGTTTGCCAATCTACAATACCTACTCCAGTTCATTTGTGTTTACAGTGGATTAACAATTTATCTTTATGTAATTAGCTACATATACTTCTTAAATAGTGGTACATTTTTTATACTTTATTCCTGTAAAGTTTTAAGAATTAGCTTCCCTTCTTTGTGTCTGTAAAAACAAAGAGTGGTTTCCCCCCTAAATGCTAGATAAGGGTATAATTTAAAATATGCTAAATGGCTATATATGCTATATTGAAATCGTGTATTTTGTATAGCCATACCAAGAAATCTGAAAATGTTTTTCAACAGAGTAGTTACTAAAAATACAGTTGACAGTATTTGTTTCACCCTACATGATCTTGCTTCACATCGAAGAATGGAAAGGGGAGTGAAGAATGACTTTTTGAATTTACTAACTAGTTCATGAATATGCTGCTCAATTTGTTTACAAGAGCAATTTGTTTACAAGAGCAATCTGTGCTATGTATTTTAAATAAAGTTAATTTTGAGTTGGTGTATCATTTTTTAAAAACTTGCTTTCGAACCCAACAAAATTATTTTGAATGTCCACATTCCACTTGGGTGACTGCTTATTTGAAAAAGATAGTCTGGACGTTGCATTAGTATATTTTAAGAGACTCTGTATTTACAGTAACAAAACCATGGTTCAGATACATTTATTGCTTTACTCTGTTTTCAGAAGGCAGTACATTGTTGCAATCAGAACATCTGTTTTAAAAATTGGTGCTTAAGTGAACTGTGTACAACCAGTACTTCATTTTGTTTTCTTAAATGTTTGCAGCATGTTGGTTTTAATGCAAAGCTTATTGAAACACTTTGAATACCACCCCATTATTAATATTTTTAAATGATTTTTTCTTTCTTTCTGTTGCAGTTACACACCTGCTAATTCAGCCTTACAACATGAGTAGCGCTTGGACATCAAACTGTGAAGCTGTCTGCAGCCAGAATTTTTAGTATTAGCTACAGTTACACACACCTTCAAAAGCCACGGAAAAAGAAATTGTTTGGCCTTTAAAGCCGTCTTCAGCTCTTCATAAATGATTCTCTCCTTTTAGACATTTGGGGCATCTCCCTTGCTCCTTGACAAGTGAGATTCCTTATTACAGAGGTAGCGAGGGGGGTGGAGTCTTGTGGTCCTGCAGATACTGTTGGACTCTCATCCACCCTAATCATCATGGCTAGTTGAAGTCCAGCAATCTCTGGAGGACTGCAGGTTCCCCACTCCTCTCTTACTAACTTTGCTACATGCTTGTTAGCTATCCTACATATACACAGTATTCCTAGTGCCAGTACTAAAATTCAGTCTCTAATGGACAAAATTTTTAAATGAATTCAGAACAGCAAATTGGGGTCTGATGTTTACTTGGAAAATGCTGGCTTTCATTTTTGTAAACTTTCATTTTTGGCTGGCATGTCTATCCCTGCCACGTTCATATTCTCTTTATCAAAGTGATGAAAAGAAAAGACAAGGAAATGCCCATTGTGTTTGGAGAGTAAATTAAATACCTTTATTTTGTATTTGTAGAACTAAATTAGAGCTTTGTAAGCTGATACAGAATATAGTTAGCCAGCTAGCTTAAGCCGCCCAGAGTGGCTGGGGAAACCCAGCCAGATGGGCAGGGGTATAAATAATAAATTATCATTATCATTATCATCTGTTAACTATTCCCATGTTTGTTCTGTAGGCTTGAATTTTCCTATAGCAAACCAAGCCATAAATTGGTGTATTTGTCAAATCAAATTTCTGTTTATGGGTAGGATCACAGTATACATTTAACTTGTAAATAAAGTTCTGAAAGAGCTCATTAAGAGCTAGTAACAGTCGTATAAATTGGGATTGACACAAATGGTCATTATTCCAGACTGGAATTTTTTAATTACAAATATGTACTTATTCAGAATTCAACACAAACAAACATGCTTACAGGTTGTATGACATTAACTCTTAAGTCTGAAAAAATGAGAGTTAAATTGGAACAGAAATTACATAACAAAGAGTCAGATGTGTGTACATAGTTTAAGCCTGTGTTCATAAAGATTTATTTCAGTTGGTGTTTAACTGAGTTTAGTCACTTGACAAAAGCGATGTACAGATCTGATAATTTGTGAGCTATCTTGATAGCCTGCTCCTTGTTTGTTGCCCCCCATCCCAGTCAATGAATAACTGAGCCATAAGGAGTCCACCTTGGTGTTATCTTGTTTCTTTGCTTTTCTACTGTAATGCTCTTGCTGAAACAACAAATTCAGAAGCAGGCTTGCCCTTTTTAAAAAATCAGAAAATATAGATTCATTTTAATTTACCTAAACATAATTGCAGCTGCTTCGTGAATGATTGTGGCAGCTGCTGTCTTTTGTTCAGGACACTGGGAGCACTGCTGTGATTGATCAACAGTTATGTTTATGTGCTCACTAGTTGTTTTAGAACACTTTTCTCCTCTCTTGAGTGTGCTTAGCATCTGAGTGAGTGACTGCTATTGAAAGTACAATACCCCCTTATTGCTGTTCTGAACACTTTCCCATATTGACCATTTCTTTCTTAATTGGAATAGTCGCTGCTAGTATTTCAAAAGTATGAAATTAATTCTGATTCCAAACATAATGTCCGTAACCCAAAATGGGCAGGAGTTCCCCATAACCTTTTCGGGCATGGGGTGAAGGGAACACTTTTCTATTTCTATATGGTCTCCCTACATTACAAATGCAGTCTTCTTTATGCACACCAGAGATGCAAGATCATAAAGCCTGAAAGGGCTTTCACTAGTCTGGGGATAGGCAGTGTGATGTCTGGCAGGGAGGGAGGACAGGAGGACTATAACTCATCATCCCTGACAGTTGGCCTTGCTGATTAGGGTTGGTGGAAGTTGTAATCACAAACATCCCAAGGGCACCATATCGGCTACTCTGGCCAGGTCTATTTTTCTGCCAATTCCTTATCTTTTAAATATCCACATTTCTATGAGGAGGAGGACTTTTTCTTACTTTTATTTCATTCCCTTATCGCTACATTTAGACATTCAATTTCTATCAGATTTTTAAAGCAAAGAAATACAATTATTTTCACACTAAATCTGAACATTTAGTCCTCCACATAGTTCAGCTTTCAGCAGATTGAATCTACACAATATAACTTGAATATGGATTTATCAGACATAACTTCATATTGTCATAATGAGATTTGCAACAAGTTTTGGGATCCTTAAACTGGAACATGACATTCTAGAATGTTTTGGTTGTGATGGAAAATGTCATGATTCCCCCGCCATAGAAAACAAAGCAAAATCAGTTCCTGGTTTTCAAATATGCTAGTTTTTATGGCCATTTTGGAAATTGTGATAGGCTCAAATTACGGACACAGTTACCTGACAGAAAATTTGGTTGAAACCACTAGTGCTTATTATCAGGTAATATGTTTAGTAATAGGCTAGACTAAAAAAGCCTAGAAGATAATCTGAAATACTTTATAAGTTTTATGTATGAGCTGACAGCTGAGATTTGTTTCTTACGCCTGAATGAAGCATAAAGAAATTGTTAATGGAACACTACACCCCCACCCCCCTCTGATTGTTAGAAGCCAAATAGTCACATATGTAAGTATTGGCTGGAAACCCGTATGGTAAAACTCTAGTCCAAGTAACTATGAATATGAATCTGTACTTGGAGTTATTTCACCCCTCTGAGCTTGAGCTGTCTTTAGTGGTGCAAGAAGAAGTGAAGTACACTGTTCTTACTTGTTTCTTACTTGACATAGTTTAGAAAAGGCCAGTCATACTCTAGGATCCCATGCTCTATAGCATTCTGGCTATGTATTGTGTACCTCAGCAGGACACCCCCCCCAAAAAAAACACACACCAGGATTTATCGAGTATCAGGCAGGTCTATTATTACTGTTATTGTTATTAGAGGAATGTGAGTTAGCAGTGTAGAACAAGACAGATACTAAGGTTATTGGGCCACTTCATTAGAATGGTTGCTTTCAGTTACTTGGAGCAACAAACTATTGGGCGGACTCATACCATGTAATGGCAGGCTTGTTAGGAATTGCCTTAGTGAATCTTGACAAAAAGGTTGTCCGTGTTTGCATCTTCCTGATAAGATCTTAACACTAGAACTTACAAATCTTTGTGAATAATTTAAATTCTATAACAAGTAAATTTGTGGGGGGAAAGTTACCCAAGCTGTTACGGAGCACTTTTAACATTGATTTCTGCTCTCTAGTGAGTACTTCAGTCTTCTTGTTATAAACATGAGGAGGGAATTTAACGTGTTAATTGAGGTGTTTGGGGGCAGGGGGAACGAAGGCTGCTTGTGCAGTGAGTTTTGGCTCACTCCTTACAGCTGTGCCCCCCACCGGTTCTGGTGGTTTCTGCAACCCTCCAGGGCAGATTTAGGTGGTGCAGAGAAGCAGTGTGAAAAGTCCTGTTGCATGAGCAATCTCTGCATGCAACAACTTAGTTGAATACCATCCATAATTTTCTGGATTCCTGTCTTTGCCAAATGCTTGAAAGATAGAAATTCATATCCACCAGAAGGCTGCCCTTAAGTTTCCCTCAACTGTTTCAACTCCACCTTGTTTTCTATATCATTTTAAGGGGAAATTCAAAATGCAAGAGATTGGATGTCCATAAAATGGTACACCCTTCTCCCTCCCTAGAAAATAGAGAAAGTAAAGACTACTGATGAGTGCAAGGGGAAGTTAAGATTATTTCTCGGTTTGGGTTATCTTAAGTTTCAATATTATGAAAAATGTAAGGTGCCCTTTAGGACAAATATCTATTAGGAGATTAATTGCAAAATAGAATAGATCTATGAAAAGACCAACTTTTATTCTGTTTAGGAATGAAATTGTTTCTTGCACTGGAATTGTGAACTTCTGCTTCACTAACTTTGTTAGTTTGTGGCAGTTGCAGCCATGCTTGTTTAATGATCTAGATAAAGCTGCATTTTGAATAATGCAAGGATATAAAATGTCATGTGATGCCCAGTTGGCCAGCTTAGGTCCTCTTTTGCTAATATTTTGGTGATGTATGATAATTTGATTATATTTTTCTGTTGTGCTGCATCATTTTGTACTATGAGAGGCGTAGCATATTTGGAGGGGCACATATACTTTTAAAGGTGTATAAGCAACTTAATCAGTTTCTTTTCCGGGTCTATTTGATAGCCGAAGAATTCTTTGATTCTTTGCTACATTTCTAAATTAGTGTGACAAGATCCAATTTTGGTGTCACCTTGGCAACTCCTACCATGTTGTAAGGCTGGAGCAGTGGATGCAATCTCCAACAAGCTGAGTGGAGCCAGTGCTGCAATATACTCCCTTTAAGATGTGATGTTTTTACAGTCGAGGAAATGTAAAGTCTTAAGCACATTAAGTCATTTGTTTTTTCTTGTTTCAGGTTTATGGTAGGCTGTGGCAGGTGTGATGATTGGTTTCATGGTGACTGTGTTGGTCTGAGTCTTTCTCAAGCACAGCAAATGGGAGAAGAAGACAAAGAATACGTATGTGTAAAATGTTGTGCTGCAGAAGACAAAAAACCCGACCCTGTCAATCAAAATATACCGGATGCACAAGTGAAACCGGAAACAACACAAGAAGGTAGAATGATGGAGTGCGAAAAGCCTGGAATAGCAAAACAAATCTCCATGTGTCCACAAAGTAAAACAAAGCAGGGAGAAGAGACTATGAAGCACAAGGTCAAAATTTTTAAAAGGGTAAGAAATGCTATTGTAGTTGCTATATAATAATAATAATGATGATGATGATGATGATGATAATAACAACAACAACAACAACAACAACAGTAACTTTTGTAGGCTCCTGTAATTTTTTATGTGATTTATAAGACAAGGGGATACATAATCTCTTAACACGGTTTAAGGAATTTGCATATATTGACTGAATTCTGTACAATTTTTGAACAAGGCTCATTGGAGATTATGTATATTGACTGGGAAACGTGCATCATTCCATCCTCATGAATGGATTATGAGCACATGCACCCTGAACCCTGGTGAATGTGCAGAATGTCTGGTGATTATGTACTTTAACAACTCAACTTGCATTACCCCTAACATAAAAATATATATTCTGCCTATCTGCACTCCCAACGTAGAGAAAAATAACGAATGACAGCTCTCCGAATTCATTGAGGAATGTATGGTGTGAATGTGAACCTCACAGAAGGTTCTCTGCTCTGGTGAGGCTTTCATGAATAGTGGTATATAAATATTTTTATGAATAAATAAACTTGTGGCCTCATGTTTTAGTGCATTAGGTGTTAATATTCTGTTTTGGGGCCTTTTGCTGGGCTTCATAGGCAGAGATGCCAGAAATTTATGTTCATTTAAACGAAACTTCAGTGTGCATAATTTCCTCTGTTTTTTAATCTACATCTAATCAACACACACACACATGTAAATGTATAGGTATAAAACTGATCATTCTGTTAGAAGGGACTGCAGTCCAAATGCTTTCTAAGATTTCTTAACACTTGTTGCAGGAATCTGGTGATGGAAAACCAGTATCAGAATGCAGAGATTCTGAAATGAAAAAAAGGCAGCAAATTCCTGTTAGGAAAACAGGACAAATGGTTCCATGTCCTCAGCGATCAGCGGAAGACAAACACGAAAGAATGAATAAAGACAATCTCAATGTCTCTTGTTCAAGTGAAAGCACAACAAAAACCGGTAACTAAAAATTTTGAAGTTGCTTTTTTTTTAAACAAAAACAAAATCACATTTAAAATATAATTTTAATACGGTACATGGAATGAAATATATAAGTGCTCATTTTAAATACTGCTGTGTGGGTTGCAGCTTAACCTGACAATGGAAGACTTGGACTCCTAAAATATTGCTTTCATTGCTGGAAATAAATATTGTGAAGGGGGACAGCCACTAAGGGCTCATTGGACTTGGGTGCCTATAGTGACAAGAGAAGGCAAGTTGCTTCCTCATGCAGGCTTTAGGATCCTACAAACCAGGTCTTTAATAAAGCATACAAAGCTATGGTCTACAATTTGGATTCCTTAACATAAATTTCATTAAAGAAGGCTGACTTTTAATGGAAAGTATTTAGGATCAGTTGAGTAATTTGCTGTCTGTCCCGTAATTTCTAATAGAGATGGACTTGGTTTACAGGTTGTTGTTTTTTTTAGTAAGACAATGCCTAATATTGTTTTGTACTAATCCCAACAGGATAATCAGTTGTGTAGATCCAAAATTACGTAATTGTATGTTCTTTCAAATGTAACAACGCCTTCCCTTCAACCTTGTGAAATTTCAAATTCAAGTTATTAAAGCTATCCCATGATGTGACATTTATATTTTAATGCAGGTGTTCAGGATAAACAGGAAGTAAAGAAAAAGAAAACGGAGAAAGGGGGAGCAACCAGTAATGTACACCCAGCTCCTGCCCCTGCATCCAAACCTTCCACTGATCAAATAAGGCAAAGTGTTCGGCAGTCTCTTAAAGAAATCCTGGAGAAAAGGTGCGGCCGACGAGCTAAACAAATTGTTAATGTCTCGATTGTTATTGTTTCCTGGTGGAAACCAAACCAAACCAAACCAAAAACATATGATGTGTGTATTTTTCAGGCTTGCAGACTCAACACTGAAGATTCCTGAAGAAAGAGCAGCAAAAGTTGCAACTAAAATTGAAAAAGAACTATTTTCTTTTTTCCGAGATACTGATTCCAAGTATAAGAATAAGTACAGGAGCTTGATATTCAATCTGAAAGATCCCAAAAACAATGTAGGTGATGTTATCTATGTTTGATACACATTCTGAAATCTTTCCGTTAGTACTTGACTTTCTTAACGGGGTCAGTGTGATAAAATATAACCTGCTTATGGTTCTCTCCCCCCCCCCCCAAGTGCTAGCAGTGTTGTCTTTCAGTTATTTTGGTAGCATATCCATATTGAATAATGTTTGTGACTGACGATGGGTAGAGTCTAGTCCCACTGTTGACCCATGGAATAACTTGTTTCAGCAGGCATCTCCACTAATGTAATAGAGAAGTGGAGCTTATATCCTCCCTCCTCTTGCAATCCTCTGTGGTATCACTCTCTATTAAAACCTGGTGGTTGTGGGTGGGGAAGGGGCTGCAATGGGAGGGGGAAACTTCTAAAAATATTTCTTCTTTTCTTGTGTTAGTGAAGGAATTTTGTGGGTCAAAAACTGTTATGTGAGTGGAACAGCAGCATTGGATTCCACCTGAAAAAACGTGGGTCAGCCCAATCTATAAGCTCACTTCTTTATGATTCCTTGCTATTGTTGTTCTCTGTTGACGTCTGTAAAACTAAAGTATTGCTGAAAGGTACATAGATATGCCTGCAGATCAAGTCTGCCAATGAAATAAGTTGTCTGATAAAACTCCAACTTTCTGTGTGTTCTGGGAGGTTTCCATTCCTGCATTCTAATGTTTCTTGTTATGTTTAACTATACAAAATTCTACAAAGGATCCATATGTCTATTGCTTTGTTCACCTAATTTAAACTACCAGTACCTCTTCAAATCTTTTTCCTTGGTGAGAATTTCATTTTTCAATAACTATTGTTTGAAAAATCAGCCACTGAAAACTCACCCGAGTTTCATTTTTCGAGATGTGTCCTTCAGGCTAGCAAAGAGATATTTATTTATTTATTTATTTAAAAACCATTAAAACATGCTAAGGATTTTTAAAGAATCTGACTTCACTTTGTGAAATGGTGGATCCATTAAGGACATTAATGTACAACTATTTGTATCTCTGTGTAGAGAGGGCAGTTTTTAAAAATGATGTACAGGTGAGACTGAAAAAACTCAGTTTTCTTTTCTGGTTGAAATTGAATTAGAAGCCTGTAGATTATTATTTTTTAATTGTTAGCTATAACTAATTACTGATTGTTTCCCCAGATACTGTTCAAAAGAGTACTGAAAGGTGAAGTAACTCCAGATCATCTCATAAGAATGAGTCCAGAAGAGCTGGCTTCCAAAGAACTAGCTGCATGGAGGAAAAGAGAAAACAGACATGTACGCTTAATCTACAGTTATTTATTTAATGGAACACCTGTTTCCTAGTGCTAATCAATACATATTTCAAAACTTTCCACTTGTCTTCTGTGTTTCCTGTTCACCATCTGAAGTCTAATGGCTTCTTTCTCCAATGAGCAACTGCAGTGAATTTTAGGTGGTTGATTGTGTTGTAACTGCAGTGTGAATTTACAAGGGCTTGTTTAAATCACTTACAGCTAAAATGCTTTTGAAAATAGAACAACAACAACAAGAAGCACAAAATTCGTTGTAAAACATGAGCTTAATTGATCAAAAAATGTTGATCTGTGGGACTGGTACAAAGTGGCAAAGGGAAAATATTTTACTGTTCCTAAATTACAAGCAGACCTGTAGATTTCCAGAATCCCTGCAAAAAATTGATGTGATAGATACATGTGTTCTCTGTTCATACAGTTATTGTACATTCTTTCCCACCTGATAGGTTCTCTCTTTGTGGAGGCTAGACCAACTTGTGTCTGAGCCTGGGGCAGATTGCTTCCTCACCCCCAACTGTGTTGCCAAATACATCCCTTTAATTAGTCCTACAGAAGTAAATATTTTCTAGGGGAAAATAAAGGGATGCATTTTACAAGAATGTGATGTGTTGGGTAGGCCCTATTGCACCTCTGGCGCTATCGTAGCCTTTGCTTTCTTCCAAAGAAGTGAATACCTACAAAAATAAAACCAAAATCTTTGGTGGCAGCGTGCTCCAAACGTCCCATTGATGCTGCTTAAAGCCTATTCAGTGTGGCTCTTATTATTGGTTTGGAACTTGCTTATCAGTGCATAGTTTTGAAATAGTTCATCCTTGATCCAGTGACCATCTTTCTACTGAATACAAGAGTCATCCTTCCAGAAGTTTAGCCATTCCATCCTTGGAAGCTGAGGAAATTGGGAGATAACGGCTGAATTTAGACAGTTTGCTGTGGTTTAGCAGAGAGCAAGCCTCAGGCTTGTCATCTTCCTTTACCTCTCTCCTTTTCTGGTATGGCTGTGAGAGCAGGGTGGGAGACTGAAAGCTTTCGCTTCTGTTTTTAGCTAACTGCATTATGCCCCAAACACATACCGACTTCAAACGGTGACAAGAAGTTGTCCTGTTTCAATAACGCATAATTAAGTACAATTTAGGATGCAGGCATAATGTGAAATTAATTGGAAATGGAAATGGGAGCTTCCAGTTGAAGGGGAGGGGAAGGGAGAGTGCACGAGCTCAAGTCTTCTGCATGTAATGCTCAACTATAGTTCAGCTTTACAGCCAGGCTCATGCCTCTGGCTGTGAAGCAAACATGGAATAATTGTATCCACCATCTGTTGCTCTCTCTAGATCTTCTACGTATTCTTCATACTAAACATCCAATGAAGGAGGAGGACTTTAGTTTTCATCTCTCGGACAACTATCTTCTCTTAGGTTTCATTTCCCATCATCCTAACCCAGCATGTACAGTGTTCAGGGATTATTATGGGAGTTGCAATTAAGCAACCTTTCCACCCATATTTTGGGGCTGCATCTGGTGATGTTTTCATAGGTTTTTACACTGTGTATCTGTTCTGTTCTTTGTTGTTTCTTGATAGACAATTGAGATGATTGAAAAAGAGCAGAGGGAAGTCGAAAGGAGACCAATCACAAAAATTACTCATAAAGGAGAAATCGAAATTGAGAGTGAGGCACCGGTAAAAGAGCAAGAAGCACCAATGGAAATTCAGGTATCACAGCAAAAATATTGTTTTTTTAACAAAATAAGTTGCGTTATTTGTTTAAAACAAACAATGCATTGGTTCTGTTAAGATAGATAAAGTGTCTGGGCTGAGACAAACCATAACCTTGGGTTTGGGTGTAACACAAGCCAAACCATGTCTTAGCCCCAAGAAGCACTGCAGCAGCAGGACTGGGGGAGGAGTGTAGCAATTGCAATCTGGGCACCTACTCATTTGCATTAAGCTATGGTTTGGCTTAGCATTACCTGTGAGCTGGACCTCTGTATGTTGTGACTCTGATCATAAAGTTGTATTTTTATTCTATATAAAATAAAATTGTATTAACAAATTGTCTGTCTCTCCTTGTTTAGGAAACCCCTCCAGTTAAGATTGTGGAGAAAACGGAACAGATTGATAAAGATAAAGAAGTGGATGAATCCGCCACTCCTGATACAACAAGTCAACATAAGAACCATCTGTTTGACCTCAACTGTAAAATTTGCATAGGTAGTATTAACTTTTGCATGCTTAAAAACCAGTTGAGAAGTTGGGGCTGCAGAAGTTGAACATCTGCAGAGCCACAGGTTCCCCATAGCTCCCGTTATGGATAGCTAGCTCTTAATTTCAGTGAGAGTAGCAGTGGGAGTGGCACAGTCTGATAAACTGTCCATTTATTTGCTATCAGCCCCTCATTGTATCCTTATAACAGCCCAGTGTTAGGCTGAAAGACAGTGACTCGTCCTAGGTCACTTGGTGAGTTTCCATGGCTGAGTGGGAATTTGAACTGGTCTCCCTTGTTCTAGGGACGCGGGTGGCGCTGTGGGTTAAACCACAGAGCCTAGGACTTGCTGATCAGAAGGTCGGCAGTTCGATTCCCTGCGACGGGATGAGTTCCCGTTGCTCTGTCCCAGCTCCTGCCAACCTAGCAGTTCGAAAGCAGATCAAAGTAGATAAATAGGTACCGCTCCAGCGGGAAGGTAAACGGCGTTTCCGTGCACTGCTCTGGTTCGCCAGAAGTGGCTTAGTCATGCTGGCCACATGACCCGGAAGCTGTACGCTGGCTCCCTTGGCCAATAAAGCGAGATGAGCGCCGCAACCCCAGAGTCGGTCATGACTGGACCTAATGGTCAGAGGTCCCTTTACCTTTACCCTTGTTCTACTCAGGCATGTTAACTAATATACCACTCGGGTACCTATGCTTTTTTTGCAGCATGCAGTGTGATATGCCCCACGGAGAGCCTCAAGGTCCATAAATAACAACACCCTAGTGGTCCCAGGTCCTAAGGAAGTTAGATTGGCTTCAACCGGAGCCAGGGCCTTTTCAACTCTGGCTCCGGCCTGGTGGAACGCTCTGCCTCATGAGACCAGGGCCCTGCAGGATCTGATTTCTTTCCGCAGGGCCTGTAAGACAGAGTTGTTCCGCCTGGCCTTTGGCTTGGAGCCAATTTGATTCCCTCCCTCCCTCTTTCTTTTTTCTTTTCCTTCTCCTCCTGCAATGAGGCTACATTTTAATATTTTAATGTTCCATTATTTTAATGTTGTATTTTATTTTTGTTTTTAAGTTGTAATCATTCATCTTGTTTTTATTATTGCTTGTAAGCCGCTCTGAGCCCGGCCTTGGCTGGGGAGGGCGGGGTATAAATAAAAAAATATTATTATTATTATATTGGAAATTCATCCTGCTTCTGACTGGGGACCATCAGTTCCTTTTTCTCTACCATTAGCTTTATCACATTGGTGCAGTTTGGCATAATGCGCTAAACTATGGTTAGAAGACTGCACCTCAGTGAGTCTTTGTTTTGCGGGTTCCTCCAACCTCCCTATGATCTGATGTGGCTGGAGGGAAGAGATCAGAAACTTCTGCTTTATATTAACTTCAATTTAGTCTGAATTCTAAACTTTGGTTAATCTTAAGTGTAGCTAGTTGAATTGAGCCAAAAGTTTGTTGGAAGTTCGTTGAAGCAAATTAACTGCAATTAAGAATAACTGCAGCCTGTCTAGGTTCAAATGACACAAGAAGGTTATTTAAGATGTAAGCCAGCGCTTGTGAACTTTTCCACACAGCTGTACCAGATAGAGACAGGGCAAGTGCAAGTCCTAGGCTTCCTGTGACTTGTTCTCATAATGCTAAACCATGGTTTAGTGTTGCATCCAAATACTTTGTATTTCTTTAGGAAATATGTATTTTCAATAATAATTATCTGAAAATGGTTGGACAGTTGGGCAAATTAGAGAAATGTACAAAGCCTCTGGGTTTAATTTCAGTTAGCAAGATTTTGAGCATTATAGTAAGAATTGTAATTTAGTGTTAAGATTAGGGGTTTTTTCTAATCTGATATGGTTTAAACAGCGAAGCTTTCTAACTTGCCTTTTCAAGGTCGAATGGCACCACCTAGTGATGACCTTTCTGGGAAAAATGTGAAAGTGTCTGTTGGAGTTGCCCGTAAACCATCAGACAATGAAGCTGAAAGCATAGCGGATGCACTTTCTTCAACAACAAACATTTTGGCTTCAGAATTATTAGAGGAAGATACAGAATTGCCAAATCCAGCACTTGCCTCTGCTTCAGGCTCTAGGTAATAATTTTGTGGTTGTAACTGGAAACTACTGCACGGAACCCCACTGTACACAAAGAAACAAAAGCAGCCTTCATGTGTACTTTTAAAGAAGCTTACTGACCCACCTGTGTGTATTCCAAGTACACAAAGTAAAGACATTGAAAAACAGGTGCTTGTTATAACTTTTTAAAAAATATATATGTGTCAAGGCTGCCTCAAGTCTCAGCTCACAAAAGACCAACGCCTATGTCTTCTTATATACAAAGGTGTTTATTGCAGTTCATTGTTTGCTTGACATCCTAGGCGCGCAGCCTTACGTCTCTTACGCTTAGACCGCTGAAGTCCCCTCTGAATCCGTCCCTCCCCTGCACCAATTTAAGAGGCTTGTGCTGCTCCACCTCTTTCTCTCCTTCCTTTTCCATAGGGTCCTTCTGCCCGCTGGGGTTTCGCCCCTCCTGGATTCCTCTGACGCGGAATCAGACTGCTCTTCCCCCCTCCTGCGGGCTTTGGGACCTGGCCCCTCCTCCGGGCTCCCTGTACTTCCGCGCGCCTCTACATTTGAACTAGGCGCGCGCGCCAAACCTCTAACTTTCCTTTTGACAGTTACACTACTCCCTTCACTGCTCCCCTCCCAAGCCGGGCGGGCGGCTTGCTCTGACCTCCCTCCTTTCTCTGCTGCCGGAGCTGCTTCCTCTGACACACTGGAAACTCCACCCCCTTCGCTGCACTCTGGGGGGGAGGCTGGTCCTGACGCCCAGCTGCCACTTTGGGATCCTCCGCTGGCCCCCTGCTCCTGACACGTCCCCCCTGGGGCTCCCCTGGCCTTGACCACCGGCGCCCCCTTCTGGGAATCCTCTGATTCGCTGGAATGTAATTCTTCCCCATCGCTCTCCATCTCCTGCCTACCCTGTGCCTCTCTCCCTGAACCCCTGACATCCATCCCCCCCTCGAAGCCCCCCCTTCCCCCCTCCCGCTGCTCGGGCGCAGGTTCCGGGAGCTTCGTTGTAGCGGGGGTAGATGCTGGATACAGTTCGTCGACGTCGATCTCCTCTGCTTCCAGTTCAGTGTAGGAGTGTTCGAAACCGGGGTCCTCCCCCAACACCTCCAAACCCTTCCCTCCCCCCTGTTACTTCAGGCGAAGCTGCTTGCCAAGGCCCCCTTCGCCACCCCACTTCTGGTTGATCGTCCCACCAATAAGAGCGGTCCGTGTCCACCTCGAGCACGATCCCCTTGGAGGGCTCGATTGCGGCGTGGTCTCCTCTGCGGAGGAGAACCCCGGAAGGTGCTGCCTGAAAGTGTGGGGTAAAAAGCCAGTCGTCAAAATACTCCTCTGGCATGGGCCTGTGTGGGAAGAGTGCATGGAACTCGTCCTTAAGAAAAGGTTCCTCCAGAGCATAATCTGGCACCCAACTGTTGGCGCTGGCCGGGTACCTTCCTGGCGAGGAGGTATTCCACTCCCTCCTCCCCCCATCTCGAGTCCAGAATTTCCGTGACCTCGTTGAGTGTCGGGGTCCTCGGTGACTTCCCCCCCCCCGGTGACTTTCTACGTGGGTCTGGTGCCGTCCCTGGCTCCTGACACGTCCCCCCTGGGGCTCCCCTGGCCTTGACCACCGGCGCCCCCTTCTGGGAATCCTCTGATTCGCTGGAATGTAATTCTTCCCCATCGCTCTCCATCTCCTGCCTACCCTGTGCCTCTCTCCCTGAACCCCTGACAATATGTAATGTGATTGTTTTTAAATATTGGTCTTTGCGTTTTCTTTGTTACCAACTGTCTTGGTGGTCTTGCTGTTATATTTGTAGCAAAGATGGAAGAAAACAGGTTGAGATTATTACTAGTCTTGCCCATATTTCTCTCTGTTAATGTTGCTGCCCCAGCCAGTGTCCCTGCTGCCATCCTCCCCCCACCGCCCTTGCAGTAGTCTAGACTGTTTTGCATTTATTATTTTTTCCACACTTTTGTCCTACAGATCAGAAATGCCTGGCATGGTTGAAAGTGAAGCACTATTTCTGGCTCGCCTGAACTTCATTTGGAAAGGCTTTATCAACATGCCATCTGTCGCAAAGTTTGTTATCAAGGCTTACCCCATCTCTGGCTCTTTTGAAAGTTTAACAGAGGTAGTATGTATACACTTAATGTTGTGTTGTCACTTTCCTTGGAAACTTTTCCAAATTTTCTTTTCATTGCGAACAACTAAAATTTGAATGTGGCATTGTGAATGCAGAGTTTTTAAAAACACCAAGAGATGTTGTTCATTCTCTCTTATTTTAGGAAGGGTTTCGGTCATAGCACTTTGTTTAACAGATACTTCCATCCCTCATGCCCACTCTTCTTGTGGTAATACGTCAAAAGGTGTATCAGCGACTTAAATGAAGATCTCCAGCATGTACACTTTCTAGCTAGCTTTTTTACATATTGGCTTTCTATAAATTCATTTCTATGCACTCAAAAGGCAGTAGAATTTTTACTTCCTCCCTTCACTCATCATTTGAAATAATGTGCCTTCTTTTATGAATCATGAGTGATAGTGATTTTTCTCATTTAGCTGTACTTTCATAGCAGTACTTCTCTATGGTAACTTCTTTAAGATGTTTTAAAAATATAGTAAGTATTTGAAGAGTAGCTATTATTTTACAATGTTATAAATACTGCATAATTGTTTTCCCCTCCCATAGGATTTGCCAGATAGCATCCAAATTGGTGGCAGGATATCACCCCAGACTGTTTGGGAATATGTTGAAAAAATAAAAGCCATGGGTACAAAGGTAAAACCAAATTTGTTCTGGTCCTGGAAATGTATGGTGTTAATAGTCCCCTGTCCCCACTCAGTTTAAATGTTTTTTAAAGGCACAGTTTGCTGCTGCTGCTGCTGCTGCTGCTACTGTTTGGCATAAGTTCACTACTGCCATTTGTGCAGGATGCAGCACAGAACATGGACTGGATCAGGGATTCTCAAACATGGATTGCCTGTTGCTTTTGAACTACAATTCCCATCATCCCTGACTACTGGTCCTGTTAGCTGGGGGATGATGGGAGTTGTAGTCCAAAAACAGGTGGAAACCCAAGGTTGGGAAACCTTGGTCTAGATGGACCAGGCTCTTCTTATGGAAACACCTAGTCCTTCCGAATGATAAAGCCTAACAAAACTGCTCTCTATTCAGTGATAAATGAGTAGAGGTGGATGTTTAGCACATTTTCAGCATCTTTTCCTATGATATGAAGACCACATGACTGGAGGGAAGTGGTAGTAGAAGGCACGCTGGCTACGAAGCATGGACAGTCATGCAGAAATATTCATAGTCCTAAAAATATTTTGCAGATCCAAATGCATCTCTGCAAGTAATATTTCCATAGTGCTGGAGTGGGGAGTTATTATTTTTTTTTGCTAACGATATTACAAGATTCTGCATGTGTAATTTCTGAAAGTTTTCTGCACAGAGAACTTCAGCTTAGTCTACTGATTGGATCGGATTTAATTTATCTATAAGAAGCACAGACTTCATACAGTGTATATATTTCAGGGCTGCTTTATTCAAAAGGCAGGCTGCACACCTCCAAAAATACCTGTATAAGTTGGATCAAATGGCTGAAGTTCCCTCCTTCATAAGTACTGTTGTTTTAAGATTGCTTCACACCCACAAGTGGCTTGCTGGGCTGGCCACTTGCTGAGAAATCCTTCAAAAGCTTTGCCAAAATCTGTGGAGAGGCCTCCTTTTCTTGGCTGCAGCTTGTAATAACCAAGACTACCCTTCTTTACCTGGAACTAAAGTCTCTGCAGTGTCAAATTCTCCTTGCGTGAAAAACCAACTCTTTCAGGTGCAGTAAGTACCTGAAAGTAAGATGATGATTGCTGACTTTCCCCTCTCCTCTCCTGCCCTGCCACCAAGTGCTGAATTCTGCTTTAGAGAACTAGTTGACAAATTGTAAGTTAATTTATGCCCCTCCCTTCTCCATAGGAAATCTGTGTGGTTCGTTTTACCCCCGTGACAGAAGAGGATCAGATTTCATACACTTTGCTGTTTGCGTACTTCAGCAGCAGAAAGCGTTACGGTGTAGCTGCAAATAACATGAAGCAAATCAAAGATTTATATATCATCCCTTTAGGTGCCTCTGATAAAATTCCACATCAGCTGGTGCCTTTTGATGGTCCTGGTAGGTAACAAAAGTTGGCCATTTCACATGTTAGTGATGGAGACCTTGTTTTTGACATTTATACTGTTGAGGTGCATTTTGATTATCCCCAAAACTGGATAGCTTGAAGCTTTTACAGTGGTACCTCTGGATGCGAACAGGATCCGTTCCGGAGCCCTGTTTGCATCCTGAAGCAAATGTAAGATGCGTCTGCGCGTGCGCGGGTCGCGTTTTGCAGCTTCCGCGCTTGCGCGTGACGTCATTTTGAGTGTCTGCGCGAGCGGCAAAACCTGGAAGTAACAACGCTCCGTTACTTCCAGGTCGCTGCAGATTGCAACCTGAAAATATTTAAGCTGATGCGTATTCATCCCAATGTATGACTATTTTGAGAGTGTGCATGAAGCTTGCAAATGTGGGAAGTCACCCTCATTGAGAAACCTCGCCTTTCAGTTTTTCCCCTCAACAAGCATGCATTAGTGCTCATGAATAAAGCAAACTTATCTTTATTTAACAGGAACTAATTATTTTAGAGTGTATAGGAATCCTACTTACAGGGAGCAGCCCTTGAGAGAGACATGGGGAAATTTGACCACTTGGACCAGCTGAGTTTTCTGAGATTGCAGAGGCATAGATAAGCTTTTTGGTAGAAATAGGTTTTTTTCTCTCCTGAAGTGTATGTGTATCTTATTAATTATACCACTGTGGTTCCCTGCCTTCCAAATGCAGGTATTGAAGTGCACCGACCCAATTTGTTGCTGGGGTTGATAATTCGTCAGAAGCTGAAAAGGCAGGCCAGTTCTGCCACCAGTACGAACCCTAGCCCTGCCGAAGAGAGTCCTGAGAATTTGCCCCCAGAAAAGAAGAGCAAACTGAGCAAACCTGAAGTCCTTCATTCTGAATCGGTGGAAAAAGAAGACGAGAACGACTTCTTCAACTCCTTCACAGCTGTATTGCACAAACAAAGGATCAAGTCGCAGCTATCGAATACCGAAGAAACAACTGTGAGTGAGCCTGCTGTGGAAAGCATCAAACTTGAACCACCAAAGCCTCTGCGGTTCCTTCCCGGAGTTTTGGTTGGATGGGAAAATCAGCAATCTGCTCTTGAACTAGCAAGTAAGCCACTGCCAGTTGATGATATTCTTCAAAGTCTTTTGGGCACTACGGGGCAGATGTCTGAACATATCCAGCCAGCAGTCAGCCAGCTTGCTAGTGAAGATCTGCCTTTATTAGATAAAAAGGCCAGCATAAAAGAAGAACTAAGGGACATTCCTATAGTAACTGCTGGAACTGAAGAAACGAAGGGGAAAAAGGACAGTTCAAAAGAACCAATTGATAATTTCTCTGCAGCTGATACACCAGTAGCCGATGTCTCATGCTCGTCAGAAAATCTGACAAGCATAAGTCTTAAGGGCAAACCACCAGATGTTTCTACAGAAGCATTTTTAGCAAACCTAACTATTCTGTCACAGAACAAGGAAACCAAAGAGACTCCTGAAAGCAATCTAAGGTTGGGTGACGGTGCTAATGTTTCTCAGGAAAGGACCACAGATTTTCCCGTCTCGGCGAGCACAGGGAAAGGAATTGGGAGCAATAATGGCGGCGTAGCATCTGTTGATAGTATGACTGTGAATAGTTCACAGTTCATCAATCTTAAAAGGGATCCAAGGCAAGCAGCAGGACGAGGCCTACAGAACAATGCTTCAGAAAATGATGGGGACAGTATTAAGTATGAAGAAATGCAGAATAGTCAACAACCGGACACTTTAGAAACCGAACAGGCTAAAGTAGATAATAAGCAACTGTCAGGAAATGACCTAGCTTCAGATCGGAGCGATAGTCAAGAGTGCAAGAAGTTGTTGGTTTCAGCTGCATCTACAGCAGACAGTGTGTGCTCCTCACAGCCGGAAAATACAAATCCGTTGTGTGAAGAAGCACTGATGCAAAGCACTGAGGCAGTACATCCCATTAGAAGAGGATTATTGACACCGCCGTCATCATCTCAGTTTGAAGCAGATAATGCCAGCGGTTCTGAATTCAGTACCAAAATGCCCAGCCCTGTTGCAAGTGGAAGCTTTTCACTAATCAGGACTCCGCAGCCAAATTTTCAGCACACCAAAACTTCTCCGCCTGGCTCTCAGTTTCAAGGGGCTGTTGCCCCTAATTTCCCTCCCCAAAACAATCCTGTGTTTGGCTTTCCTCCTCATCTGCCCCCTCCGCTCCTCCCTCCTCCAGGCTTTGGCTTTGCTCAGAACCCTCTGATGCCTTGGCCCCCCGTTTTGCACCTGTCAGGTCAGCCCCCACATTTTGTTGGACCAGTTACGCCAGTGCCAGCCCTGGCTCAGAAACAGCTGAGATTCTCGGGGCCAGAACACTTTTATCAGGGTAGAGACACCCGGAGGACAGAGAGGCGTCACAGTGATCCTTGGGGTCGCCAGGGTCCCCATGTGGAGAGGGCATTTGGTAGGAGGAAAAGCGACCAGCACAGGCAGAGGTTTTACAGCGAGACCCACCACCAGAAAAAGGGCAGGCATGAATGGGAGCCGGATTCCGAAAGAAATAGGCATAGAGATAGAAACCAGGAGAAAGAGAGAGAGAGGAAAAGCAGGGAGGAAGGGCATCGGGACAAAGAGAGGTCGCGGCTTTCACATAGCGACAAAGACTCTGAAGGCAAATCCAGAGACAGTAGGAATCTTGACAAGAAGGAAGCTCCTAAAAGTGAAGAGCGTGCTCAGGAGGAGAAAGAGAGAGAGAAAAGTAGGGAGAGGCACAGAGAGCGAGAGAGCGACAAGCCCCGAGATAGACATCAAAAAGACAGGGACCACAGTGACCGGGGGAAAACCAAGAGGTAAAAGTAGCGGGGAAGGGGGTCCACAGCCTATCTTCTAAAGTTTATAATAAACAGGAAATAATCTGTTTTAAATATGTCCTAAAACTCTGTAAAAAGATATGCTTGGGTATCAGTTGTGCCATCAGTTCTTTCTTTTTTAAAAAAATATCCAGTGTTTAATGTTTTGTAGAGACAAGTCTTGTTGGGTACCAACCAGTGTACCGCTTGCTCATTTACTTTTACATTCAGCCGCCCTAGGAGCAGAGGTTGAATTGTTCAAAATTTTACGTTGCTTGTATAGACAATAATTTAAGGGTTTTCCTTTGATATGCAATAAAAAGTGCATAAAGGTTCTTTGTTCGATTTGGCTTCAGTTGACATATTTGCAGCCTTTGGTGATTTGTGCTCGCTGTTTGAAGATGCTCCAGTAAATATAAAGGAGAATTTTGTATCATTCACTCTTCTTAGATTACAGTGACTTAAAAAGAAAAGACTATGACACACAGAAACCCAAGTTTGAATGCAGTATACAGCATACTTGAATGGTGTTGAAGACTTTCAGAAGACAAGCAAAATAAAAAAGAGCAGTATTTATCATCATATTTCCACCCCTATGCATCTGAAACAGTTTTTGAGCAGAAATTAGAAGGCTGCATGGTCCAAAGTTTATTGCTTTTAGGGTACACATTTTAATAAGGTTCCCCCCCACCTTTTAGCCTTTATGCTATAATTTGTATTAATTTCCCAACCATTTCTCTCGCTTCAAAAACTTGAATACCTAAGCTTGTACATGACATTGTGTTTTACTATCCTTTATATTGTAAAATGTAAATATTTTAAGGGATATTTTGATTCTACAAATGATAAAGCCTTCTCACAGCTGTTGTTTGATTGGTTTTAATAGATGTGAAGCAATAGGCTAAACTGATATAACAGAAAGATGTATAAATGTGGCTTGACTGGTAATTTTTAACAACCCTAGGGCTTTTAATAAATAGATCAGTAAAATTTTGTGATTTTCTGTGGAAAATTATAGTATATTGCTGTTTCTGTTGGATACCATTGCACTATTCTGTTCAACATCCTGTTTTGAAGTATTTAGTAAAATTAAGAGCATTGTGGATAAAGAACCTTCTTGAGTAAGATCGCCTTACCTATGAACATAATTTTTTTGCACTTTGGTATCAAAATAAACTTCCTTCCAATAATATGTGACTAAAGCAAATCGTTAGGCTATTTTAAAATCCTATTTAAATATAACAGCCGGTTTGCAAACCTTGCACATGGCTTTATATAGTCAAATTAAAAATGCTATACAGTACAATGCTTGATGGTAGCTTTTATTTAAAGATGTGACTATCCAGATTGTTGGCTTTTAAGAAACACTTTTTTTTTCTTAGCACAATGTATATGTTAAATAGAAATTCAAGATCATGGTAATTCTGATGTAAATTATTGCTGGGGAAGGAGGGAATATTTGCAACTATGTCCAGCACAGTTGTCTAAGTGAATGTAGAATGTCACCTTCTGGGACCAAGGTATCATCCTCAATCCTGCAACTGAGCTTTGTTTGTTTCCCCGGCACTTGTGAACACACTCTGGTCAGCAGGACTTCTCAGCTAGTTTGTCTTCCAAGACCAGCTGGGAATCCTGCTGTCTTTCTATCCCCCCCACCCAACAGAAAGTAGAAAAGAAGCTTATTCAACATAGGAGCAGATCATCTTAGATTTAACATAACCATTAATGAAGGCTGTGAGTGGAAGAAGCACAGATAGGTTTATTGATGAATATTCCAAGTGTGCTGATTTCGAATAGTTCTCAGGTTGGGGATTGTTCAGAATTTGTATGGTGAGAATCTGACTTCCTTGAGCAATCTGCAAAGGAGAACCAGTCATGTTTATTGTGTAGCCCTACATTCGTGCTCTCGTGTCTCAGGTAGAGTTTGTGTTAACTTTGTACAAATGGAGCAGATTTCTCTTTTTTGTTTCCTCTTATGCCTGTGTTTCACAGCAGTGACCTGACCTGTTCATGCCTTTTATTCTCTGTGTATTCTTGTGGGCTTAGAATAAAGTCTGGTAGGTTAACTGGTGGGTGGTATTGTAGTACTGAGGGCTATGTGAAGAATTTTCCTTTGAAATTCTGGGCAAGCAGTTATCAGAGTTGCATGTGTACAGCTACTAATATTTAATGTAGTAGTAGTAACAACTGTGTCTGAATACCTACCAACCTGTGCTCTGAAATCAGCAAGGGAGGTCCTGCTTTTGATCCTGCCAATGTGAGAATATGGTGGCCCATGATTATGGCGACCTAAGGGCTTTCTTGGTGATGGAATTCCTTCCCTACGGAAGTGTGGTTGGCTCCCACCCTACTGCCTTTTACGTATCAGCTAGAGGCATGTTGCTTGCTTTGCTTTTGGGACATGAATTTGCCTTGGTATCTATCAACCGAAGACGTGCTTGTTGTATTTTGCTTCTGATTTTCTTTTCTAGTTGTATTTGGTAGCACTTTGGATGCTTTTGGAAGGAAGGGCAGTACATAAACACAGAATCTTAATCACAGTATTGTAATAATGTTTTGGTTTCCTGGGGAGGCAAAGAGAATGCAGTCAAAGAACTTGCATAGATAGCAAAGGTCTTGCACTGTTTTAAGGCCCTTGACATGGCAATCAGTGAAATGCTACTTCTGGGTTAAATCACCATTTTGCAAGTTGAGAGCAAGCAAAGATTGGAAAGTTGTTTCACAGTGAGATGTTCACTAGTGTGTAAACAGATGAAGTCTTGCAGAAACTGAAAAACAGTAGGTTCCTTGGAAATTCTAAGTTGATTCTCCATATGGAAGACAGTCATTTTTCATAGTTTTAGAACTAGAAGATGTACCCTTCTAGTGAGTTTCAAATTGTGTGATTCCCCCCCAGTCTTCTTGTGGATTCAAACACTGGCATGCCAATTCTACATCTGACTTGTGAGAGAAAATTGTGTGGGAAAGTACTTGCAAGTTGCTAGTGTTCGTGTTTAGGTATGTTTCCCTTACAGAAGTACATATATTGTCTCTATTTTCAGATAAGTCCTTTTTACAGATTAGTTATATTCAATGTGAGACTTTAAAGTTGTATACAGAATAAGGTTGGGGGAGAAGAAGGGTGGGGTGAGAGAGCGGAGGGAGAGAAGGGGAAAGTAAACTTTCATTCTTTTACATAGTGTATGTGTGAGATTTTTGTGTCAGCGTCACATGGGTAGGTTCTCTTTCTATTCATTTATTCTATTCATTTATTCATTTCTATTCATTTCTATTTATGTGAATCTAATACACCATCATATCTAAAAAGGTGTGCATTACATTCAAGTAAATACAGTAGTTTTCATTGACAGTGAGAGAGGTTGGGGGCCTAGGGCATGGTTGGTTGCCTTTAGTTGACTGCAGTAGGTTTTGTTTGTGTGTGTGAAAGAGAGGGGTTGTTGGGTCAAGTTAACCATATTGATTCACATGCTGTTGTTGGGTGGTTCTTGTTGTCTTGTTGGGCTGTGTGTGTAATAAAGGGGAGCCACACCGGGGAGAAAGCATCCTCTTTTATTTGTCCCCATGTCAGTTTCAGTCTGTTGGTTAGGTTAGCTTTTCTAGTAGGGCTGTTTCCCACACAGTTGGGTACCAGTGGTCCATGTTCACTCCTGACAGGTCCTCCAGTGTTTAGCTCTGACGCTCTTGGCTGCTGAGAGTATCAGCTCTTTGGGGTGTGAATGTGCATTTGATGTAAACATTTTATTAGTAAGAACAAGAAGTAAAAGGAGACACTGATGGTTTTAGTGAGAATTTTATTTGAAGGCTATGGAACAAATATAGTTTTTATATATCATTATATAGGTACATGTTTTGAAGTGTTGCATTTTTCATTTATTACAAAGCAGTGTCTCAACAAAAAATAGGGCAAGCCCACATTTATTCCAGAGGATTGACTGCTGCTTAAAACACCAGCTCCTCAGAGGCTGCAATCCTGAGTGCTTTTCAAAGGTAAATGATGACAGCTTCTACATTAATCTTTCTAAGGTCAGGGAAAAGTTGAAAAATGTTTATGAAGGTAACATGTTTGCTACATGTTGCTAACTTTGTCAGCATGACAAAGCTGTTATTAGCATAACACATTCCTTACCATTTTCTTGGAAATTTTTGTGTTTCACTTGAGGAAAACGAGGCAGACCAGTTCCCCATGCACTTGACACTGGGCTGGGGTTGGACAGTTGGATTAGGTGGTGTGTCCTTCCCTTTGGCTCAGCCAGGCTCCCCCTTCCACCCAGTATATGGCTGGTTGGGAGGCCTGCTGGCTGGAGCCAGAGGAAAGCCACCAAACAGTGCATTCCCAGGGAGAGTGGTGGGCTTGTGCTGACCTGGGATCTGCTGGTGCCTGAACTCATTGCCATTGTGTGACTGCAACGGTCCCATCCCAGCAGCTGCCACGATCAGGAAAGCTGTGATTGTGGGGGCTCTGCCTCTTGGCAAAGCCCCATGGCAGGAGGTGGCAGTTTGGATTGTGTTTTCCATTTTTAACATCAGGAAATATGGAGGTTAATGACAAAAGAAATTATGGTTGAGCACTTTTCCAAACAGCTTAGCAGCCGGATGCTACACGGGTATGAGATGTGAATGGTATTTTCTAGCAATCATAATGCAAGTACTTCTGTCATCATCTGCTCCTTCCCCGCCCCCCCCACTTCCTAGTGCCATTGTTATAGTATACAGTGCTTTTTTTCCTGAACCAATAGGCGCCGGAACACACCTCCCTCAGAAGACCCACCCCAGAGCCCATCTTCAGGGTGTGTGTTCTCTTCGCAAGCTAGAGCCAACCTCTGACAGGCTCTTGTTTGTGGGGCTGCCTCAGCTGCCACCACACAGGCAGTGGAGTTGGCAGGCCACCTCTTTTTCCCTGGAGGAAGAGGCAGCCCATCCATGTTAAAGTGGGGGCTGAGGTAGCTTCATGAACAGAGCCTGACTGCCCTTGCCATGGGTGGGTGGGCAGGCTGCCTCTTCCTACTGGCAGAGAGGCAACCTGCCTCCCCCCACCCACCTTGTGTGAAGGCTGCTGAGGCAGAGATGGGCAGCTTCCCCAGCGGTATATCGCAAGTGAAACTGGGCATTGGGCTCCACTGGGCATTGGGACTGAGGAGCGGCAGCAGTTTCACATGCAGTATACCGCTGAGTGATGGCACCATCGTGCTCTGACCCTCATACCATTCCTGGGCGATATTGATATGTCAACCAGACCTGTTGTTGAGGCTGCTCAGCTGAGCCGCTGAGCAAGCTCCCCCGCTCTGGCTTAGGTGAGCTGGAGCAGTGTTGGGGGGCTTGTTCAGCTGCGGTGCGGCTTTCCTGTGTGTCAGCTATTAGCTAGGAGGTTGAAGAGCCCCAGGTTCACCTGTGCCTCTCCAGAGCCTGTAGATGAATGGCCGGGAGCCACTGAGGGTCTCCTCCTGTGTCGGAGGCACAGTGGGGCTTTGCTGAGGCTGGTCAGGTCTTTCCCCACACTTCTGGGGGAGTTCCGGCAAAAGCTGTGTGTGTTATACACAGACATACAATCAAGAAAATGTTGCTTGTCAGCAATGGTGGAAGTACCCAGTTGGCTTTTGTAGTGGAAATGTAAACACATTTGGTATTTAAAAAAATACTTTTACCACTGTGTTTCTATCTCATTTGGCATTTATTTTCTGAATACTGTATGCAAGTTCTATGAGAAAAAGCTAACAGAAAATTAATATAATTCTATATTGAATATATATTAGTCTCATTTCATATACAAAAGCTACCTATGATATAGAAAATAAAATGATTGTCTGTTTTGAAACACCTAAATTAACACAAAAGAATTGCCTTTTTTCAGCTATTAGTTAATTGGGGAATTTAAACATTTCTGAAGTCCAGCTTCTCAGAGAGAAGGGAAAAGAGTTTGGCTAGGATTCAAACCTCACTCAGAGACAACCAAGGGAGCTGGGGACTGCAAAGGGAGTCCAAGAGCCAAGGAGCCTGAAGGAAAGGTTTCCTAAAATGCATCATGCAGTGTAAGTAAAGATTCATATTTTCTACTTACATAAAAAGGTTCTTATTCAGCAGTTAATCCTTATCTCCACTATAAACATTATAGCCTTCTGCCTTAATCAGCAGGATCTTTTTAGAATCTTGAAACAGGACAACATCTTTAATTTTGCCAACTAATTCCTGATTGAACAGCCCTGCGGTGACAGTGTTCACTCTCCTATTAAGCCCAAATCCTCCAAAATAGCAAGTCCCTCCATAATTGAGAGCAGTATATTTTCTTTGTGGATCTAGATCTTCAAAGAGAACTAATTCCTCATCAAGGTACACTTTGATGAGAGTCTTGTTCTGTGCAATGGTGACAAAATGCCATTTTTTGCAACACAGAGACTTGCTCTGCGGAACAAGAGGGACAGCAAT